TATTTGATTATTTAGAGTCACACTGATCCTACTACCATGATGAATCAAATATTAACGAAATTTAATACGAAAATTACGTGAGATGGATATTCACGGGTTCAGAATCATAAAGTCGCTGTCAGGACTCACGCGTCCGCAGTGGTTAAATGATTAAGAAACATTTTTCAAAAGAACTGTTAGGTAGCGACCTATTATTTAACGCGTACGTCCTAACAGCGACTTTATATTACGTGATGTTTACTGCTAACATTTAGTTTTATCATTTGATTATTTAGAGTCACACTGATGCTACTACCATGATGAATCAAATATTAGAGAAATTTAAAACGAAAATTACGTGAGATGGATATCCACGGGTTCAGAATCATAAAGTCGCTGTTACGACTCACGCGTCCGCAGTGTTAAATTAAGAAACTTTTTTCAAAAGAATTGTTAGGTAGCGATCTGTGGTTCCTTGGAGAATGTTTACTTTCGCGATGAGTAGAATACAATGAAAAAAAAAAATTTGACCTTGAAATTCAAGGTGCGGTTGTAAAGGTTCATTAAACGTACAGTTCTATCAAATTGAAGACGAATTCATCTATGATAGACAAACTTTTCTTTCCCACCCTATGTACATATACGTACATACGTACTTGAGAATCGAAATGCGCGATCTTTCAAGGATTTTTGGCAACCAAATCGGGTTAAATCGTCCTTAGGCGAGGGAGTTGGCTCGTTAAATTTGGCAAATTTAATAACGCTCCTTTTTGCAAGAAATAGGGAGGTCGCCCTCCGTGACTCGTTTTAACAGCGTTTTGAAAGAGAGCTTTGAAGGAAACGTCTTTGAATTCGCAGTACGGGGGAACGTGATCTCTCAGTCGCCCTCCACGTGGGCGAATTTTGTGCTCGTGTGCTCCCTTCGTTTCGTGTTTTTCATAAAAACCGAGACCGATCCGAGTCTCCTCGAACGATGCAATCGAAACAATCAAAACGTCCAAACTTGCTAATTGCTCATTGGAAATATTTATTTAATCCCCTGTCGCGAAAGTGGTTGATAAATTTTACGTAAATTTGGTGAATTTCGACTCGGGCGCGTGACTCGTTTTGCAAATAAGTTCACAACGAACGCATTCACGGCAATAACGACTCTCGTATAGTTAAATCTCTCCGCTATCTGTCACAATCTGCAGGTGTGCTCTCGGAATTATTAATCGCTCGTAACGATGTATCTCTGGTACTTGGGCGCATTTAGTCGCTCTCATTTGGCTCACGTCGAAATGAACGTTTACTTTGCACGTCGATGTTTTTTTAATCGCGACGTGTGACCCTTTACTCTAGTATTAAGAATTTAATTAATTTGTATTTATTTAATTAATAAGGGCAATATTTTCCTTCATTATCATGCACAATATCTTGACGATTCGTCGAGGAATCGTTTCATTTTTCGCAAAAGACTTGATTAACTTTAATTTTAATTTAATTAACAAATTGTAATTATTTTTCTCGTGATGAGTATACTTGAAAAAAACGTGTCTGAGATATTTTTTAAATGACGAATAGTTTCACGGATAATTGCATTTGTAGATTACAAGTGGGACACCCAGTATATATACAGATTGTAACGTTGAACTCTGTATTGTACCTTGTGTTTTGAAATTTATCGTACAAAGTTACGTTCCCGATTGTTTTTTTTTTTATTTTTGAAATAAATTTAACATACATTCTCTCTCTCTTTCTCTCTCAATTTTTTCGTTTTATGGCTCCATATGTTTTCTCGATCCTCTATATTGAGAAATATGAGAGCTATCGTTTCCTTTTATTTATATTTCATCGAACAGCAGAATCAAAATTTGGAAAATCCGCGAAATTTGCCTAGATTAAAATAGTATTTTAAAGTAGAACTCTCGACAACCACCAATAACAATTGTATCAATAAAAATCGTCTATCGCGAAGTAATTTCAATTTAACTTGATGTCAGTCGCACGAGTTGCATACTATAATTACATACGAATGCTAGAGAGAAGCCAATGAAACGAAGTTCGATTTGTAACCTCGTCTTTGTTACAAATGTTCCAAACATAATAATTCGTGTTACATTTTATTTTTCACTTTTTCTCCTCCACTGTCGCGTCGGAAAGTTTTCGATTATCTTACTGATAAAATGCAGAAAATACGTTAGAATATGCTTCTTAAAACATTAATTTAATTAAAACAAAAGATTCGTGCATCTCGAATTATATTCGACAAGATTCTGAGCGTTAAGGTTAGGGTTAGACCAAAATGACCAATTTCTAATTTCTGTTACATGTTTTATAGATTTTTATGATGTACGCAAGTTTCTGGAGATCTAAATATGATTTATCATAAAGGACTTGCCTACTCCATTGTATTATATATTTTTTATATATATTTTATTCCAATGTTTCTAAACTTTATGCGTCAGTCGTCATATTTATGCTTCTGGCGTTAAAGAAGTTTAAAAAGAAAGAGCAACGCTTGCTCTGTCGAGCGACAAAGACAGAAACAGAATTCGCGACAGAAGCGCTAACGTGAAAAAAAGAAAATAGACGCTGGAGGATCGTCTCGGCAGACGGTGTGAAATTTCCGCGCGTGATCGGTCGAGTGACATCGAATCGCGTGAATTTCGTTTTGCCGCATAACGTTCGATCGCATCGATTTGTCGCGTCACGCCCTGCGAGCCACGCCGACTCGTTCATCTTTGGAGAGCGCGTGTCTTCGAACTGGAAAAGTTTCTTACTGCTTAGGTTTTCGACGAGGCGAGGCGACTCTAACCTAAACCTAACCCTTGCCCGCGCGCGGCACGTCTCCATCGATTGCCGCGAATCGCGTGCACGCGTACCTGCGCTTCGAAAGCAAACGGAGGGAAACTACGGACCTCCCAGTGGAGACGAATCGCGATTTCGTTGCTCCTCTGCTTCGTCGCTTCGCGCGTGATTCCGCGGCTGATTTAACCACTTGGCGTTGGCAACTGATTGCGGACCATAACGAGTGACCGAACCGTATACAATAACTCGTCGGTACGATATCAGTGGATAGAAATGATTGAGAAGCAATAGATTTATCATTTGTTTTGCCTGTGTTACACTTAAATATACATAAAACTGAGGAAATGTTGCAATTTTGAGACAAAAAAATTCTCGACGTGCGTGGCAAGAGATTTAACTACTTGGCGTTGACAGCTGATTGCGGACCATAACGAGTGACCGAACCGTATACAATAACTCGTCGGTACGATATCAGTGGATAGAAATGATTGAGAAGCAATAGATTTATCATTTGTTTTGCCTGTGTTACACTTAAATATACATAAAACTGAGGAAATGTTGCAATTTTGAGACAAAAAAATTCTCGACGTGCGTGGCAAGAGATTTAACTACTTGGCGTTGACAGCTGATTGCGGACCATAACGAGTGACCGAACCGTATACAATAACTCGTCGGTACGATATCAGTGGATAGAAATGATTGAGAAGCAATAGATTTATCATTTGTTTTGCCTGTGTTATACTTAAATATACATAAAACTGAGGAAATGTTGCAATTTTGAGCCAAAAATTTTCGACGTGCGTGGCAAAAGGTTAACCACTTGGCGTTGGCAACTGATTGCAGACCATAACGAGTGACTGAACCGTATACAATAATTTTGTCGTTTCCTTTTTGAATTCGTCGATAGAAATGATTAAGAAGTAATAAATTTATTATTTGTTTTGCCTGGGTTATACTTAAAACTGAAGAAATGTTGCAATTTTGAGACGAAAAATTCTCGACGTGCGTGACACGTCATTCTAGCGCAAGAGATTAACTCTTAGGGACACGCAGCTTTAAAGAAAGAAAACTTTACGTGCACGGAATTTTTTTTAATATAAAAAAAGGAAAAAAACGTAATTAGTAATTTCAATTTTGTTAGATGGGTGCAAATGTGGGGCAATTTTAAACCCATCTAACCTCAAAGAGTTAAAATTAACGCGTGTCATGTAAAATGACAAGAATGGTTCAGGTTAGGTAAAGCTTCTGTCGTAGAAACGTTGAAATGCGATCGTGTTTGTGATTTGAATGAAAATTGTCGTTCGAGTTCAGTGAGAAAACGAGTCGGAGTCCAGAAGTTTGTTTCTTTTTCGTTTTCTTGTATTCTTTCTGTTTCGTTGCACGAAGTTTCATCGTTTTAGTCGAAAACTAGACGAGCTTGCTGCTCTTTATAATACATTTGTAATTGTAATCGGTTTCGATCGTAGTAACATTGGATTTGTAATCGTGATCGTATTTAACCAAAGATAAATAAAATGTTTGAAAATGTGTCCAATAACGATAGTGACACAGGCAGCGGTGCAATTCAAACGAAGGGATATCAGAATAATAAGAATGAGACTGATAACAGAGATGAACCTCTTACGCGGGTAAAATATTTTTTATATTCACACACGTATAAACAGCAGATCCTTGCTGAGGTACTCAGCTACACACTTTTCGAAATTCTGTGCCAAATGTTGTTCAGCCAAAACGTCTCTGCACACAGTGGAATCTGCAGACCGCGTTTTCACAGCCAAAATTATTTCAAATCACGATATGGTGGGTCGTGACGTCAGTTTTAACGTTATCAAGTCAATCTAAACCTAACCTAAACCTTGAGTTTCTGCGAGAGCAAAATTTTCGTTTAAATTCTTTATTTCGAAATTTGTAGAGAATTGAATGTCGATTAACTTTCATTACAAATAATTTTTTGTCAGATCGTCGGAAATAACTGAAAACTCATGGGGATAGCCTGATAACAGAGATGAACCTCTTACGCGGGTAAAATAATTTTTTATATTGACACGTACAAACAGCAGATCCTATTTAGAGGTACTCAGTTACAGATTTCTGGGAATTGTATGCCAAACGAAATCACCAATCACGAAATGTGAAGTGTTGCTCTCTGTCTCTGTCTCTGTCTCTGTCTTTCTCTCTCTCTCTTTCTCTCTCTCTCTCTCTCTCTCTCCAATTCAACTGGGCAGGAACTGAGAAACACGGTCGGTCGGTTTGTTCGCCACAAACGTTCGCTTAATCGGCCAACCTGATTACTGTGTAGCGCGGGCGATTGTCCGGGCGATTGTTTCCACGCGCTTTGTTTGCGCGGCCGAGTTCACGGGAACAGTCGCGGAAAACTGTGCACGCGCCGCGTTGCGAGTGAAAGAGGCATTCTTCTTCGGTCGGGAAACGCCGAGTTTCTTCGCGATTCCGGTCGCTTTGGGGGGCAACGCAACACGTTGAAGGACACACACCGCGTAAAAGCATTCGTGGCAACTCCCCACGGTTCGTCGAAGAGGAGGAATAGTTCTCGGCTTTTTGGAATGTTTTCTCTTTGTGTTCTCCAAACCACGTAATGTGAAATTCCACGTTCCACTCGATGCGAGAGGTGTCGTATCGTACAGATTTTTGTCGGTGGCACGGCGCATCCGCGTGTTTTCATCGCGCGACTGACGTACCGACATTGGTACAACAATGTGCAATCAAAAAAAAAAAAATTCGTCGATCTCTATCGTTGCTATTTGCCAAAACAATTCGTAAAGTTAGTTTGGATGTTAAATAAATATAGTAAAAAAGTAAAATAAAATACTCAACGAGTAGATTTGAGGTTAGGTATAAATAGTTCCGTTGCTTGGAAATATTTCGATCGTTGCTATTTGCCAAAACAATTCGTAAAGTTAGATTGGATGTTAAATAAACATAGTAAAAAAGTAAAATAAAATACTCGACGAGTAGATTTGAGGTTAGGTAGAAATAGTTCCGCTACTTGAAAATATTTCGATCATTACTATTTGCCAAAACAATTCGTAAAGTTAGTTTGGATGTTAAATAAATATAGTAAAAAAGTAAAATAAAATACTCGACGAGTAGATTTGAGGTTAGGTATAAATAGTTCCGTTGCTTGGAAATATTTCGATCGTTGCTATTTGCCAAAACAATTCGTAAAGTTAGTTTGGATGTTAAATAAATATAGTAAAAAAAGTAAAATAAAATACTCGACGAGTAGATTTGAGGTTAGGTAGAAATAGTTCCGTTGCTTGGAAATATTTCGATCGTTGCTATTTGCCAAAACAATTCGTAAAGTTAGTTTGGATGTTAAATAAATATAGTCAGTCATCAAAAGAGTAAAATAAAATACTTGAGTAGATTTGAGGTTAGGTGAAGATAATTTTTCGTTACTTGATACAGCTGTAATAAAGTATGTACAAGGTGTAAATAAGGTATTGAGTTGGTCAAGAGGTAATTTTTTTCTAACAGATGGACACGTGTGTAACTAACTTTACTTTAAACCACAGATTTATCATGTATCGTGTGTTACCAGTCTAACGGCTGATTATTCGAGCTTGGTTTTTAGATTGTTCGACGTCGCTTTTCAAAATGGAAAATCAAAAACTGCGCTATTTGCAAAAAGGAGAAACAAAAACGCTGTGCAGGGCCATGGAACGATTATTCGACGTGCATGAAGAAACCTTGAAGAAATTATTATTTGCTAAATTCCACCGTCGACGGCGATGTTAAATAATTGTTCTTGGAACTTTTGATGGAAAAAGTTGAGTGAAAGATGGTAAAAGCTAAACGAACAAACGTGAAAAATTTGTCTTTCATTTTCGCTCACGCGAAAAGGAAAAAAAAAAAAAAAAGAAACAGACTAAAGCAGTTACTCTTTCAGGCCAACACCTGAGGTTCGAATGTTGCGCGTCTGTAGAGGCGTCGAAAAGGATTCGGTCGGTGGGCGATGCAGGCGACGTGCGTCGGTCTCGTCGCACGGATAGAACGAGAGGGATCCGCTACACACTCACCGGTCTGCCCTTTCCCCAAGGTCTTTTCCAGTCGGTAAGGACCAACGTACTGATGGGTCTCCTGGGTGTTGGACCCGACGGGGCTCTCCTTGCCCTGCATCGTCGAGCCACCTTCCTCCTGGTCCGCCAGGTTGGCTAGATTATCCTAGAAACCCAGGCTTGCCGGTAAACTGCTTTGCTTTAGTCACCCACCCAGCCCCTTCTTCTTTCTTCCTCTTCCTGTTTCTCTTCTGATCCCTTTCTCTCTCTCTCTCTCTCTCTGTATAGGTTCACGTGCTGTTCGTCGTAAGCAGGATCACTCCGCGACGGAACGACAGCGTTTCGCGTTCGCGGTTGTCCGCGGCATGGCGACCGTGGTCAGGAGGTGACGACGACCGCTGCCGAACCGTCGAAGGGAGATCCGCCGGTTCCCCCTCGACGACGAGCGGAAGATAAGACGGCGGCCACCACGAATCGAGAAGAGAGACGCGAGGGAAGAACTCGAGTTCGAGCACACGCACTCGCGCCGTCGTCGTCACTCGCGCGACCCACCTGGCCCGACCTTCTTCGTCTTCCGAGGCTTCGTCTGCCTCTTGCGGATCCTTTTCATGGTGATCGGCCGATGATTCGCCGGAGGTTTGCCGGAGATAGAGAGCGTAGAACACGGTGGACACGAGGAGCCGGTGAACTCGCAGATGTCGGGAGATATCGAGCCCGGAACGGAGAGTGGATCACGAGGTGGCGGCTCTAGTAACATGGGGTGGGCTCACGTGAACGGCTCACGGTCGCCCTCGACCACCGGCGGCTCCGTCGGAAACCGAGCCGTTCGTCGACGGAGCCGCGTTCGGCGCCATTGCGACGACCGATCGGCCCACTCCCGACCCGATTCGCCGCCCGTTTGATCGTTCTTCGCGAGCCACCCGCTCCCTTCGGTCGCCCTCGCGATAACGTCTGCGATTTACTCTTTCCTGTTTTCGGCTGCTGCTGCTACTGTTCCTCCTTTTTTCTCCTGATCGTTCGTTCTCGAACCCTCGCCCGTTTCTCCAATCCTGCTACGTTCTCTCGTCGTCTCTCTAATCTTTCAATCTTTCGCCTCAAAGATTAGAAGAAAGAATCTTTCTTTTTTTCTTGTTTCCTTTTCTTCAAAGCCGCGACAAGCCAGCACGGGGAGGAGAGCACGAAGCTCGCCCCTTTACTCCCCCGGTACCTCCACCCTACACGCACTCGTGCACCATCGCCGCCACCACCACCACCATCAGCACCACCACCACCACCACCGTCGCCACCACCATCGCTGTCACCGTCACTGATATGTTACTAGATCCGGTAGAAACCGAAGCAACCGTTCCTCGTTTTGCCTCCTCGGTTTTTTTTCTCGGTGAAGGGGGAGGGAAGGTCGAGCGGAGCGAACCTGGAGGTCGACCGGAACGAAAGCAATTGCAGCGAGGGCCCGGCGGATTTTTCTCTTCGGACAGGTTCGACGAACAACCGATTCGTCTGGCCCGTTTCGTCAACGATTCTGGCCCTGTCGTTCGCGGATGACGGAGCTGACGACGAACCGCGGCGCTCCTAGTTCGATTACGTGTTACACGGAGGCCGATAGAGAGGGTAGGCTGCGCGCGCAGCCCCGAGAAACCACCCGTCGCCACCCTTGCGGCCACCCTTTCCTCCACACTGGGTGAACTAGCGGTGGTGAGCTAGCGATGGCTTCGAACCTCTCTCCCGTTCGAACAACGAACGAATTTCGAATTTTCGTTCTTCGACGAGCCGAGTTTTTTTTTTTTTTCTTTCTTTTCGTCTATCGACAAACCGCTTTGTTTGAATCTTTTCGACGCTGCTCGAACGAGAGTCAACTATTTGCAACTTTATTCTCGCCAATCCTTGATCGCGTGAAGTTTCGGACCGAGAAAAGGTTATTCTTAATTGAAACGAAATGAAACATCGAAATTTATATATTATTAAATTTTATAAATTTATATATTTATTTCACAATTACTGTTTTAAACAACAGTTCGCGAGAACTGCTAGAATAAATACTTCATGCTGGCAAAGAGTTAAACGAGTTGGACTCGTGAAAAAAGGCGAATTCAAACCAAGTGATATTTGCACGATCGAAGCCATCGCTAGCGACTGCCAGCGAGGGAGTACAGCAGCTAGGGAGACTTTGATTCTGGTTCTCTCGGTTTGGCGTGCACGGTAGGGCATGGCTCGGCGCGTTCTCGTCGATAACAGGGGAACTGCTCCTGGTTTGTGTCCGGGCTAAGGAGCCATTCAGTTTTCCGATTTCCCATTTCGCAAACCATTCGTTTCCGTTCGAAACAAGGTTTCGTAGCTGTAGTCTATTTTCTGCAGATTAGGCGGACGAGAATTTCGAGAATTTAGATCGAAAAATAATAATTGTACGAGGCATATTTGTGCATTCTTTATTTCCTCGAGTCTTATTTTATTCTTTATCATTTTAATTTTGTTCTTTGTTTCCTCGAGTCTTATTTTATTTTTTATTTTTTTCACTTTCTCAAGTCTTATTTTATTCTTTATCTTTTTAATTTTGTTCTTCATTTCCTCGAGTCTTTTTAATTTTGTTCTTTATTTCCTCGAGTCTTATTTTATTCTTTATCTTTTTAATTTTGTTCTTTGTTTCCTCGAGTCTTATTTTATTTTTTATTTTTTTCACTTTCTCAAGTCTTATTTTATTCTTTATTTTTTTCACTTCAAGTCTTATTTTATTCTTTATTTTTTTCACTTTGTTCTTTGTTTTCTCGAGTCTCATTTTATTCTTTATTATTTTCACTTTGTTCTTTATTTCCTCGAGTCTTATTTTACTCTTTATCTTTTTTACTTTGTTCTTTGTTTTCTCGAATCTTATTTTATTCTTTATTTTTTTTCACTTTGTTCTCGATTTTCCCGAGTCTTATTTTTTTCACTTTGTTCGTTGTTTTCCCGATCGACGCGAAACTTCTCGCTACTCGAAATATCAATTTTACGCGAAATCTCGGCGAATCGAGGCGGCGTTGTTGGAATCTGTTTACATAAGCGTTTGCTTTGCCTTGAGACGGATTTCCACCGCGTCGCGAGGTGACGCAAGAACTCGCGCTTCTTCTCCTCTGCGTCTCTTCTCGTCGATTTCGGGAAAAACAGATTCGAGACAGAGAAAAGAGAAAATACCATCGTTTTTGAAGAAGAAGAAAAAAAAAACACTTCGAAAAATAATGTAATTCCAAGATTAAATGTTCCACGTTTTTCGGCTATTGCCTCGCCGAGGTGAGCCGCAAAGTTACGTTGACGGGGATGAATAATTCAATAAGTGGAATTAGACAGGTTAAGTCGGACGGTTGGCGGTTTGGTCGGATGCCGATCAATCGTTTAACGAATTAATGATTAATTTCGAAGCGAGCGTCGCCGTTCCGCTCCTTGTCTGTTTGCGCGTTCAACTTGCCTTCGTGTACCCTAATTCGCCAATGCGAAATTTTAATGGTAACGTTCGTCCGAATGACGATTCAACCCATTCGAGATTACAGTCGGATTACACACCGCGTGTGTAATGCACTTTCCAGCGAAAAAAAAGACGAGTTACATACCTTGTACATATGTGTAATGATCTTGAACTTAAATCGTTAGTAAAATAGTAGCTTTTTGAAATGGAGCAAAATTTAAAGAAATTCTTCCGCTCCCGGGCATCTTTCACAGCTAACTTTTAGCTGTAAAAATTTTAAGTATATTATTTGTATGTAAAAATTTTAAGTACACTATTTGTATGTAAAAATTTTAAGTACATTATTTGTATGTAATATATTTTTATTACATACAATTTGAAGTACATTATTTGTATGTAATATATTTTTATTACATACAATTTGAAGTACATTATTTGTATGTAATATATTTTAAATACATTTTAAGTACATTATTTGTATGTAAAAATTTTAAGTACATTTTAAGTACATTATTTGTATGTAAAAATTTTAAGTACATTTTAAGTACATTATTTGTATGTAAAAATTTTAAGTACATTTTAAGTACATTATTTGTATGTAAAAATTTTAAGTACATTTTAAGTACATTATTTGTATGTAAAAATTTTAAGTACATTTTAAGTACATTATTTGTATGTAAAAATTTTAAGTACATTTTAAGTACATTATTTGTATGTAATATATTTTTATTACATACCTATAATATACTTGAAATTTTTGCAGCTAAAAGTTATGTAATAATAAATTTTCTCACTTTTGTATTCTCACTATACATCGAATTAAAAAATTTTTGATCGTTGGTCGTTTGTTAAAAATGTTATAATTGGAGTATTGGAGTATACGCATTTAATTAAAAGCTGTGCAGTAAATTATGTTAGCTGATAGAAAAGTTAGTTATAATTGAAGAATTTCGATTTTATTTTCGATTTCGATTGGTATTTTCCGGCTTGGAAAATAATTCCTCGCCACGAACGCTGTTAAAGCCCGCTGTTGCCATGAATCCTTCATATCGTCCATATGTAAAAATGAGCAATTCGCTCGGATCTTGAGCGTGAAAAACGGCAAAAAGGAAAGGAGAGGCATAAAGAGTTGCCGATGAGAAAACAAACGAAAGCAAAATATACCGAGAGGTTGTTCCGCTGGCGCGCGGAATAAAATGAAAAAAGAAAAAAAAAAAAAAAAAGAAAAAAGACGGCGTCGCGCCGCGGGCAACCTCGATTTCAATTTCGCCCACGGTCGTTGAATTCTCTTTGGACAGAGAGGGGGCCCGGAGTCTCTCGCTGCCTTCGATTGAAAAATGATATCGCGAGACACACGAGAGAAGACGGAACTGCGAAATTCGAGCCGACGCGACGCGACGCGCCGAGTGATCGCTCGAAACTCGCCTGGCGGTCGAGAGAAAAGAAAAAAGAGAACGAACAACAAAAAAAAAAAAAAAAAAAAAAGAAGCGAGACGCTCGCGATCCTCGGAACGTTGAGGAGAGTCTATTAAATCGCGGTTAACCCCGCGGGGAAATTGGGGGGGCGAGGGGGGAAATGATACACGGAGGCAAAGGAGGGGGGGGGAGACAGAAGAGAGGAGGAGAGAGAACGGAAGAGAAAAGAAGAGAAGCATTTAACGGAGGCACTTTTCTCGATGAGACGTGCGTATAAATATGCAAGGTAAATTACCCTGAGCGTTACGGCGCGAGCTACCGCGCGGCACTACGAGGACACACCACCTCGCGTAGAGGGGCACGAACGCGATATAGATCGCGGTGGGACGAGGAGGCCGAAAGGGCGGCGGAAAGAGAGGGACGATAGCTCGGATGGCACAAAGAGGAGGGTGCAGGCCGAGGATCGATAGGTATATAGAAGGCAGATAGGAACACAGGAAGCGTCTGACACCGGAAAGCTCCTCGGGGATGGCTTCTTACGAAGCTAGTTCCGAACGACCGACCGACCGACCGGCAACCTGTTCCCTCTCGTTCTCTTTCCTCCTTCTTCTCTTTTCTTTTTTCTTTCTTTTTTTTTTTTTTCTTTTCTTTTTTCCTTGATATTTTCAAAACTCCAAACTGAATTTTCGCACGTGCGACGTTAAATACGTCGTCGAATCGACGATACGGAGTCGAAACGACGTTCCCTTCGATCGTGAAAAAAAGAAAAACTCTTCTCGCGTCTCGTTTCGAAAACGTCAAGCTTGAGGCAAGTTTTTTTTTTTTTTTTTTTTTTTAAATAAAACGATCGGATTTTTAACAACTTTGGTAAAGAAAGAATCTCCATCGTGCTAGCCGTTTAGCTTTAACCTCTTGCCACGCACGTCGAGAACTTTTTGTCCCAAAATTGCAGTATTTTGAGAAAACTAAACGTAACCCAGGCGAAACAAATATATATAAGTTTATTACTTCTTAATAATTTCTATCATATCGATGAGATCAAAAAGAAAGCGACGAATTATTGTATACGACGAATTATTGTATACGACGAATTATTGGTTTGGTCACTCTTTATGGTCCGCAATCGGTTGCCAGCGCAAGTGGTTAACCTCTTGCCACGCACGTCGAGCATTTTTGCCTCAAAATTGCAATATTTCCTCAGTTTTAAGTATATTTAAGTGTAACCCAGGCAAAACAATTAATAAATTTATCACTTTCCAATAATTTTTATCCAGTGGTAGTAATATCATATCGATGAGATCAAAAAGAAAGCGACGAATTATTGTATACGGTTCGGTCACTCGTTATGGTCCGCAATTAGTTGTCAGCGGCAAGTGGTTAACCTCTTGCCACGCATGTCGAGAATTTTTTTGTCTCAAAATTGCAACATATCCTCAGTTTTAAGTATATTTAAGTGTAACACAGGCAAAACAATTAATAAATTTATCACTTCTCGATAATTTCTATCCAGTGGTAGTGATATCATACCGACGGGTTCAAAAAGAAAGCGACGAATTATCGTATACGATTCGGTCACTCGTTATGGTCCGCAATCAGTTGCCAGCGCAAGTGGTTAAATGAACACGGATTTTAAAAAGTGCGGGTGATATTTACATGCCTAATACAGGGTAAAAGACCGAATGATATAAAACAAAAATGACTTTTACAAGCACATGTTTTCTTAATTTTCTTATTATTTTATTTAGAAATATAATTAATGGATTTTGTTTCAGTATTGTCTGTGAAAAATGAACGAGTTGTGACTTTTTCAAACCTCTCAGTCTTTCAGTGGCCATCCTGTATATGAAGTTACAGGGTTGAATCTATCGCCATAATTTTTCAATTATTTCCGACGATCTATTCTTAATTACATCTTTCTAACGTGTGATATCATTCAAATTTAAAGCAATCATCGACGTGCATTGCCGGTTTACTAGAGCAAGTATAACATACAAGAGTTACAGCATGATACATAGTTTCAATCTCCGGAAAAACAATATTATTATTATTATAATAATTAATATTACTGTAAAGCTAATTGACTCAGCACTGTCTTCGAAAGTTTCTTTTCTTGAAATTCTCTTCTTCTTCTTACGTCGTATCGTGCAACACCAAATGTATACGTGTTCGTTATAATTATCAGCAAATTATGAAAAGAGCAAGTTCGAGCAGAAGGAACAGCCAAGTGCAAAGTGTTAAAAGACCTAATTAAGCAAATTAATGACCTTTGCCTTTGTAACTTCTACTACCAATTACTGACAGAGAAAAAAAAAAAAAAAAAAACAAGACAGAGAGCAATTCAATCGAAGGTCTCTTCATCTCGAGAAGTCACGATTGCTTTTTGCATCTCCCGGCAATGCTTGCCAATGTTTCAAACGTTGTCTAGCTGGCTCTTTGGATCGTTTGTGTTTGCATTTGCCAGCTAACTAATAGGAGACTTCCCTTCGGGTTTCGACTGCTCAACCGCGGACGATTAATTGGCTCCTCTGGTGGGCGCAGCCCTGTCCTTTGCAGAGGCTGCCGCGTGATCGTCGTAAATACCGGAAAGTTCTCGATGCCACCGGTGCGCCCGATAAATCATCCAACGACGCGAGTTGTTCTGCTTGTTGTTGCAAGAAGTCGCGCAAAGTCGCGCGAACTTCCCCTCCGGGCATGTCGACGATCCACGAGAGAAAGTGAGAGTGAGCAAGAGAGGAGAGAGGAAGAGCATTTCAATTTGCTGCGAGATTGATTCAACATGACGGGACGCGGGATCGATCGATTTTTTTTTCCTCTGACGTTTGGTCAAAGCGTCGCAACGCGCACCACCTCTCGAGACGCGTCGCGATCGATTTAACATCGCTAAACTGGCTTGCTAAATCGCTAACGATGTTTGAACGTGAGAGGGGTTAATGCACTTCTCTCAGTTTTACGGGAATCGCGCGTATCCCGACTTGCCTCGTTCGCGTTTGCATTGTACCGAAAGGGTTTGCTCGTCCAAGTTGCGATAGCGTCCCATCCACGCGATAGTTCGCGATGGTATCGAGAGCATTCACTCATCGAGCATGTACGTATCGTCACTTTTCAATCGGCGTTGAAACTTTTCACGTAGATTCTCTTTCTCAGTTTGCAAAGTGCTCTTTATCAACGCACGGTGGGGAAAATAGTGAAACACATGGCGTATTTGTATTTTATGACTGCACGATTAAGGAAATGAAATAAATTTTTCCAGATATATTTTCATTTATTTCAGAGTGTGGCGGGTAACGTGTTGCACTATTGCAATGGGAGGATACCGAAGCGTCGATCACCGATTTCGATGAAATTTGGCTTAAAATATATTTATAATTGTTATAATATAATGTTATAATGTTAATTATATTTATATATAATATATTACATTATTAGAATATAATATAATATTAATTGCATTATATTATTTATATTCAAATATAGTATTTGTCACCTTTCAGTGATCACCCTGTAGATACTAGAGTCCCAACTTTGAGGTTAGTTTACATCCCCTCAATATGGCCGATTCTCGACAAAAAAGCTGTAGATTCCAGAGTCCCAACTTTGAGGTTAGTTTACATCCCCCAATATGGCTGATTGTTGACAAAAAAGCTGTATATTCCAGAGCCCCAACTTTGAGGTTAGTTTACATCCCTCCAATATGGCCGATTATCGACAAAAAAGCTGTAGATTCCAGAGTCCCAACTTTGAGGTTAGTTTACATCCCCCCAATATGGCGGATGGTCAACAAAAAAACTGTAGATTCCAGAGCCTCAACTTTAAGGTTAGTTTACATCCCCCAATATGGCCGATTGTCGACAAAAAAACTGTAGATTCCAGAGCCCCAACTTTGAGGTTAGTTTACATCCCTCCAATATGGCCGATTGTCGACAAAAAAACTGTAGATTCCAGAGCCCCAGCTTTGAGGTTAGTTTACATCCCCCAATATGGCCGATTGTCGATAAAAAAGGGGGGGGGGGAAATACGTGTCAGGTATTTTTTCGAAAACTACATTTCAAGCTAAATTTCATCGAAATCGATGATTCATGCTTCGATAAAAGTTGGAATCCGGTCCACTTAGAATGGTCGTATTACATGCGCATAGTACTCGTCTCCATCCAAGCGCGGTGCAAACGAGTAAACAAAGTTCAAAGTTGGCACTCTGCCTATGGGCTATTCACCGCGCCGCAGATGACACGGCCGCTCGCGTACCGGACACCGGAAACCGGAAACCGAATGCAGTCTGCGGCATCCAACAGTGCAACCCACCAACTCTTCGGTACTACGCGGCGTTAATTTAACGTGAATTCGTCGCGCGATCGATTCTCTCAACGATTATCGGTCTCGATCGATTACTGTTTCCAAACCTAACCTCTGTGTTTTGCGTGTTTTCAATTTTCACGGAGTTCGCCCGCCACTCCTCGTAGATTTGTGACGGCGCGCGTATCATTAAAAGTGATTTAAAATGAAGAAAGAAGAAAAATAAAACCAAATGGCAGGAGATATATTATACATTCTCAGTTGTTGATAATCAACCAGAGCAAACGGTCGTCGTAAGAATCTTTTTATATATTAATTAAATAACACGATATATTATATATATTATTATATATTAATGTAGTTATTATTACACGATATATTATATATATTATTATCCTCTTGCGCTAGTAACGTAGTTCACGGACCATAATGAGTGACCAATGTCATTCCAGCGCAAGAGGTTAATTATATAATTATATTATATATGTTAATTTATACTATATATACTATATTAAATAATAATTCATTATTAAATATGCTATTATTAAATTATCAAATTGCGATACGAATTCGACGATAGCAAATCCGTCGACATCGAGAAACAGATCAAATCAGCGAATAAATCTGAATCGTTTTTCACTTGAACGACGTGCACGGCGCATCGCCGCGTAAAAGTAGTTACGGCTGTATTTTATGAGTCAGACGAAGTTCGTACGAAAGTGTTTAAGTGGGGGACGGTAATACGTAAAAGGGAGACGTAAAGTGCTAACACAGGGCAGAACAGCAGCAGCTCTCGACAGCCCCTCCCACTGTCCCCTGCCAGTCTTCGTCTTCCTCTTCTCCCCTTGCCTCCTCCTACGCCTTCGTTTCCTTCAAACTCTTTGACGCCTCGTTCTCGTTAGTTTTTGCTCGTCCCTCCATTTTTTTTCCCCAACCTTTTCTGCCAACCTCTCCTGCGTTTTTTCAAACCTCGTGTGTCGCCAATATGATCCTCGCGAAGAAACAACGAACCGCGCCCTCTGTCGAAAAGAAAGAAAAACAGAGATTAAAAGAAGGTTAATTTTCTGGAAACGTCGTCGTTGGAAGATTTACTCGCCGCCGTCGCCGTTCGGGAAATTACAACGTTGGCCAGACGTGATGGAAAAACAGCAGAGGTATGTATCTGATAGACAAGTGACATAGTAGACGGTAGTAGCTACATATGGTCAAATGAAATACATATAACGAGGAATGCGAGGTGAGGCGAGGCAATCGCGACGTTGACATTCGAGCGTGGCGTGCACATGTTCGATGTCGGTACCGTAGTTTGATTTACGCAGCCGTAGATGCGATCTCTATTAAACGTGTATCCCGTACATGGATTGTGGGGATGGACGGTAAATCACGAGAATCTGTTGGTCGCGGTGCAAGCCCAATAGTTCTTCCAAGCATCAACGTGATACACATAATTGGTGGCGTTGCTACCGAGAGTTGCTATATCGTACGGAGTAAGTCGGCGAGTGATTCTCCATTTTTTTTTATATATATATTTATAATATATATATATATTATAAATATATATATATAAATATATTTTTTATATATATATTTTATAAATATTTTATTTTATAAATATATAAATATATTTTTTATGTATATATATATTTTATAAATAATATTTTATTTAATAAATTTTATATATATATTATAAATATATATTTTATTTTATATATATATATATTTGTGAAAGTAGATACATACAAATTTATATATTACAACAGAAAATTGAAAAATGTTAGTGAATTATAGTTCACAAAGGACAAGCAGGAAATTTTCAAGACAATTCAATTATACGCATCACGTGTAATTTACTTTAATTTTACACATTGTACAATTACACATGGCTTTAATTTTACAAAATCATTAAAATAATTTTATTTCATCACCAAAGTAACTCTAGTTTCCAAATGAAAACGAACAAGAAGAACGATATAGTAATAAGGTGCAATATATCATTAAGAAAAAGCTCGAAATTGGTATTTTAACCTATATTGTGATAAGATCCTAACCTATATTATGGTATTATAACCAATATTATTATGAGATCTTAATCTGTATTATAATCTATGTTATAATCCTACATTATAATCAGATTCTAACCTATATTATAATGAGCCATTTCACCTAATAAATTATCGGCATGATTCTACTTTTTCTTCTTTTTTTTTTCTGCGAAACAGCGTCTTCATTCAACTTCTTTTTCTTTCAGAAGCGCATGCCCGAGATCGGCGAGTATTCGGAAGAAAAATTCCCCCGTACTTACAATTAGAGGCACGAAGAATTACTCGACGGAAGGAAACAGGTTCGCCCGTGAGCTTCCTAGATAAAAACTTTTTCCTAAAACTCCAACTATCTTGGCTCGTTCGATTAAACTCGACTCCGTTTACTCGGCGCGTAAATACTTGGAACTTGTTACACTTTAGAGCAGTACGAGAACCTCTCGTTTGCTTGTCCAGCGATCGCGAGCCGGGGAACAAAAAAAAAAAAAAAAAGAAAAAAATTCGTTTCATGTTTGCCAAAGCTTTAAGATCGATTTACAATATTTTTCGTGTTACATATCCACTTTGGCTAAATTATCCATTTCGATGAAAGTAAATCTTTTGTAAAATAAGATTTGTAAAATAATCGAAATTCTGTCGAATTTGACCTATTCTTAAATTATAATTGTCTGAAATTACGTAAAATCGGCTCGTAAATCTTTGATTATCCCTGACAATTCTGAACAAAGAAATTAAAACGAGCACGGGTGACAAAGAACTTTTTTACGGGGACAAAAGCACGCGAAATAAAAGCACGGCGGGATGCTACGCGTTCCCAACTTCTCTAAATAAATTTTATCTCGCAATGGCTAATTTCACGGAGGCGTTCAAAGAGAACCGGTGAATTAGCGAGAGAAAAGAGTTGGAAGCGTTTAATCCTGCCCCCCCTCCCCCCTCTTTTCCCTCTCTCGGCTCGTTAACTCGAAACGTGTGAAGAACTAGATAAACTTTCGTTTCGTCCCTACTCGAATTTGTAATTCAACGATAAACGACGAAAGCTCAACGACTGTAAGCTCTCGCTAGAAATCTCGTGATACGCGGGGGAGAATGTCTTCTTAACCGTCTTGATATTTCGGTTTCATTGATATTTATTTCGAACGTTACTTTAAAGGCAGATTCTCAATTATCAAATAAACATTATTTTCTCAAATAATCAGTTCTTCTTTCAATGTGTGTTATTCTCCCAAATATTATTTGCGTAGCTTCAAATTCATTTAACTTCTCTGCTACTGTTGGCGCCTATGGGGCGATCAACTTACTTCCGTCCCCCCAAACGAGAGTAGCGCCTACTTCTATGGGCGCTCACTTCACGTTGCTCGAATCAAACTGAAGGCGTCTATAGGCAAATGTTACCGATGACAGTTGCAGCAAATATTCACTTGAAAGTAGACGTAAGTGAATTCTAACTCAATTGCATTTTCCAGTCATATATTATTTAAACGATTATTTTACAGTTACTTCATTTAAGCTGTGGTAGTAAATTAATCGCAAAAAGGCACAAATATGCAGTGTATAGAAGGGGGACGTATCAATGCAAGAAACGTAATGTAGGATTATTGGTATTTTTAGGATACCAATAATTATTATTTTAATCATTAATATTATTGGTATTTAATAATAATAAAGTATTTAATTAAATAATAATAATAAAGTATTGGTATTGGTATTTAATTAAATAATAATAATAATAAAGTATTGGTATTGGTATTTAATTAAATAATTATTATTTTAATCATTAATATTATTGATAGGATTAGGTAATTGTACAAAACTGTTATGCGAAATAAATTTCACACAGGTCTGGATTCGACCTAATCTAAACTGAAATCTGAACAGCGCGATCGCGCTGCGTGGTTCACGTGAAATCTAGGAAAGAATTGGGAGAAAAATATATTTTGGTTGCCGTTACGCCGTTCGACAGCGGCAATTACGCTCGTTTTGCGACGACCCGATAATTGGAGGCGTGCCAGCGTAACGAGCTGGCAAGACCGGAGGAGCACGAGCGCTCGAGATAAAAGTAATCGAGTACGTTCTACATTCCGGTATCTCGCATCCGTCCCTGCCGTGCAACCCTCGCGAGGCTCGCGAGTCTTCTTTCATTCTGCTTATATCGGGTTGCTGTTCCGTGTCGAGCTTCAACCAAGAAATAATATGCTTGCTTCGAGTTGAAATTCGCGAATAAGAGTCGAGTCTGTGGGACAGAAGCGTCGTGCTTCGAATCTCGGCGATTTCGTCCGAAGAAAATCGAATACAGTAGTCTCCAATAGCAACCGGGACCGAAACTGGTCAGTTAAGCGAGGAAGTGTTTTCAATTCCAGGAATTGGCATCGAAAGAATGACAGTGGGGATGAGTCAACTGTTTCACCAGGCATGAATATCAGGTGTCATATATATAGGGTGGCCACTGAAAAACTGAAGGGTTTGAAAAAGTCATAACTTGTTCATTTTCAATATTTTTTATTTTCTTTTTATGTGGGTTACAGGAAAAAGTACTGAAAAAAAATCCATTAACTATATTTCCAAATAAAGTAATGAAAAATTTAAAAAACGTTTCAGTCTTTCAGTGACCATCCTATACATCGTTTGTTTTGTGTGTTCGAGTGTTATGTTTCACGCGGTCGCACGGTAAAATGGAGTGGGGATAGTCCCAATGCCAAGAATTGGTGGGGACAAGCGCTGGGTCAGTTACGAAGTCCAAAGTGTGATCAGTTACGCGAGAACTACTGTGTTTCAAGAAACTGCGAGCAAACCTCGGAGAGACCCGCGCGTCGAATGCAAGACTTCGGCGGAAACGAGAGCCCGCCTTTGACTCGAATCTTGGCCCGTTGAATTTCTCGAACGAGGGTGTCAAGCAGTAAGGAGAGTTTTCGAGAGTTGAATCGGCTGGAGCAAGCGTCGCGTCGAGCGGTTGACGAGTCACTGGAAAAAGAGAAAAGGGAGCTGGCGAGTGCGTTTTTTTGCGTGTGTGAGTGCGAGTGAGTGAGTGAGTGAGTGAGTGAGTGAGTGAGTGAGTGAGTGAGTGTGACGGAGAGGGGTGGGGAGGGGGAAGGCTGGAGGGGGTTAGCACGACACGATAGCCCCAACACACGAGAAGCGCACCGAGACCTCGACGAAATCCTAATATTTTAACCACTGGCGAGGAATGAAAGGACCCGGGTGAGCATGAAAAGGGAAAAAGGGGTGCGCGAGTCATCCCTGCGTACCCTTAAACCCTACTGGATGGGGTGGAACCTGCAAGGTGGGTGGAAGTGTGTATACCCGTTGCGGTACCCCGAGGGAAGTACTTGCAATTAACGCGGTAAGACTCCGGGCTCTGGCAAGGGGTAGTACACCCTTCTTACCGGTAACCAACCACCCTCCGTCCCTGCTCTCGTTCCCACCTCCTTTCTCTTTGACTCTTCCGTACCGTTCGTTCGTCTGTATGTACATACATACTTTTCGCCTGCTGCCCTTCTCCCTCCCTCTCTCTCTCTCTCTCTTCCTCGCTCGTCCGCTGACGCAGTACGCACGCAGTTTCTCCGCATCCATCTTCGTCGAGCAGCGTTCCCAACGAGCTCTTCGAGCGCTCGTAGGGGACGCCAGAATGGCTGTGTTCGGTTATTTGTCAGGGATACGCGTAATCGCGCGCACGCGTGCTTCCCAGCCCCGTGAAAATCTACACATCTCGTCCCCTCTCTCTTTCTCTCTCTGCATTTACCTCGCGCGTTCCTCCTTTTTAACCACCCTTCCGACCTTTCCCTCCGGGCTCACGCGCCTCCCGATGCAACAGATTGTGATTACACGAGTTATCGACCCTACGGGCTACCGTCAAGTCGAGCGCAAACTGCGAATCGTGCAACTATCGATGCAACGATGTACCAATTGCGGAGGAAATTGTGGAGGCGACTCTCGTTTTTACGATTGGATCGGATCGCCGATCGATCTCGGTCGGACGGGGTTTTATCTGGGTCTTATTGGTTAAGCGAATCGACGCGACCGACCGCGGCGGACCAGGCCAATTGATTTTCCGTTCGATGGCAACGCGTGACCGTGCGTCACGCGATCAACAGCTTGCTGGCCAAGTGTGCAACGTTAACGCCAATCGGTTTGTTTTACAATGGATAAATTGTAGTATCGTAGTTGTTACATTTAATATATTTATATTGTGTTATAATATATATATATATTATTTTATAATTTTATATTTATATTATAATATGTAATTGCATTTAATTATAACAGATGGCCTGTAACGTGAAAGAGGAAAAGTATGAATGTGGTACGAGAAGCACAACCTTAGCGTGGAGAGTTTTGAAAAGGGATTCGTGAAAAAGAGTTGATTGTGTTGTTAAAAAGAGTTTATTTGAGTTGTTAATCTGTGTTCTTTGTCTTGCCTAATTATTTGTTGTTTAATCACCATTATAACTCCTTTAATAAATATCATTTATATTTTATCTTTACAATATGTATTGGATTGTAATTTCGTATTTTTAGGTCGGAATTTTCGTATTAAAAAAAGAATTTTATTAAACAATATATAATACGCACCGTTTTGTTCGATAACTTTGCACACCTTTCGGGCAATTTCAAAATTCCATGCTCCCAAAACCTCCAGTTTCGCACAAGCCTCCAAAGAACAATGTGGATTATTTTCGATCCACGTCTTAATCTAGTCTTCACATATCGTAACCAATTTTGACACACACGTTCGCTTCCTATCTTTATATACAGCACATACTTTTATTATTACTTGGTTTTGAAAAAGCTACTAATAATTGCATTTAAAAAAGCATTAAACTAACCGAAAATACTACTTGTTTTGCTCTGTATTCACAACGTCTGCAAATAAAAATTACCGATTGTAACGTAACGAACAACTAGAAAGCCTAAAATACAGGAAAACATAACCTCTTAGAAACACACGTGCAGCGAGATACAAATACTTCCTTAATGGTTAACGACATTTAACCGCGAAATACGAAATCATCCAATGTATCGAACGTTCGAAATTTCTCGAGATAAACGCGGACAACTCGTGCATTATGTTCGTACGAAGCTCGTAAAATGCAAAGAATCGGAAGAAATTACAAGAATACAAAAATTCGTAAATGTCCAGTTACGAATGAGAACCGCTGGCCCTCGGGAATCGTTTACCGAGGGAAAATTTTGTTACAATTAGGGATCTCGCGTTCGGGGCTTATTCGTGGATGATGCACGTATGCACGCCCGATGACATAGTACGTGACAGCGGCGCTCTATTGTGCGGTCGCAATCTGAATACGATTGAAATTTGCGTGAAACGACTGTTGCCACTGGTAGAATCATAATGCTAAATAGGTACATTGTCGTATAGACGAGAAGGCGACGTTTCTGGGTTTGTCAAAGTTGTATATTGTGATGTATGTATATTGGCTCACGTATATTTAAAACACGATTACGTACTTACACGATGAAAAGTAGACACAGAATCTCCAGGATAATAGATACTTTTAACTTAAGATATATTAGAATAATAGATATTAGATAATAGATAATAGATACTTTCAAATTAAGATATATTAGAATAATAGATATTAGGTAATAGATAATAGATACTTTCAACTTAAGATATATTAGAATAATAGATATTAGATAATAGATAATAGATACTTTTAACTTAAGATATATTAGAATAATAGATAATAGATACTTTCAACTTAAGATATATTAGAATAATAGATAATAGATACTTTTAACTTAAGATATATTAGAATAATAGATAATAGATAATAGAAACTTTCAATTTAAGATATATTAGAATATATATGAGGTAATAGATAATAGATACTTTCAACTTAAGATATATTAGAATAATAGATATTAGATAATAAATAATAGATACTTTTAACTTAAGATATATTAGGATAATAGATATTTTTAACTTACTATACATTACTGCATATACTGCAAAATTCTAACCTCAATCCCACAGGGTATTTGTCAGGACAGAAGATTGAAAGTTATGAAAATTATATCCAAAAAAAGAACTGAAGCAAAAGTAGAGTATGGCGATCCACTGACATAAGTATTATTTTATAATTTTATATTTATATTTATATTATAATATGTAGTTGCATTTAATTATAACAGAATAAGTTATCCAAAGTTAGTATTTTTAGAGAAGTGATAAAAGTAAAAGGTAGCTCGACTTTTTGCTGAAAATCCCAAAAATACATATTAATGTAACCACTGTGAATACACTTTTGTGACCCATGATTTTGTATTAGTTATAAAAAAATCATTCTGCCTCAGACACATACCGTTCGATTTTAACGAAATTAATACACACAATCCTCATACATACCCCACATGTTCTATGTATAATAGAAATTTAAAAATATTTGTTATCTTGGACATTCTGTATTCATTTCCACTTGAAATTATATATATATAATATATATAATAATAGAAATATATAAAAATAATATATATATATATTGTGTTTTAAATACTTTCGTGGGCCAGTGTAATTTATAAACGGGAGACGAATCTCTTCGGAAAAGACACCATGTAGACATACTCGTAACACGGAGAACGTTAAACCGATCACCGAAATTAATAAGTTGCGAGAATGGAATGCCTTTTGCAAAATCGACGAAAGAAAGACGGTGCAGAGATATTGGTTGAGAACTCCTCGTTTGCTCCTTTCTGTCTAGAGCTGGCGTAGATGGCAACGGCCTGAGGATTTTTCCCGAGGTACCGAGGTTCATTAATCATACGGTTGTCGAGGAAAACGGCGCGGCGCCGTGAGAGCAGCGACTGAACCGATGCCACGCCGCGAGAAGAATAAGATCTTTCTCTCTCTCTTCCTCTTTTTCTAGTATCCCGGCAACACGGCTGTGAGCCACGCGTTGGGCTGGCTATTGTACCTCGCTGAGTGCACAGTCGTGTAAAATCTATAAGGAACGGTCATGCCGAGCTCGGATATCTCGCGGCAAAACGTGTCGCGCCAAGTCGTTATTCGCTGATAGGCAGCAGTCTCAAAGGTGCACGACCCACAAACGTCTCTTCGATTGATTCGTTCGTAGATCACGTCGTGATATTGTTGCCTTTCGATATGGATTTATTCGCCGGCTCTTTACGATCGAAAGTGTCATCCGAGGAATTTCATTCGGAAGTTTGCTGCTTTGAATCTTCGTGTCAACGAAATTAGCCAAGGTAATTTTTAATCGCTCGATGCGAGATCGTATGAAATAAATGAAAGTAAATAATTCGAAGGATAAACAGTATCAGAATCGAGGAACAAACCTCGATGCTGGATGACTAATCAGCTTGACAATATTGGTTCAGTGCTAACAATGAGTCAGTGACAGTTCTCCAAACATACGTTCATTGGGAAAATTCTAATAAGTAATTGGTCATCTACGATCCTTCCACTCTCTTCTTTTGCCGAAAAAACATAAATACAAAAAGGCGACTGCTGGGAAGGGGCAGTAGCACTCTCTTTCATCCGGGAGACTAGAGACACTGTAATGTAATCTTTGACCACGATGTTACGTCGTAAGAGTGTAAATTATACTTCACAGTTTTACAGAACTATTTTGTTCGGACAAGACAAGACCTCCATTTCAGAACTTGCAGATGTAGAAATGTTACAATACTGGGTGTTATACTTGCTGCAACGTTACACTGTATATACACTGCCTTTCTATTATACAGAGTGGGCCAAAAATCATTTCCTATTAAAATAAATCCGTAATTTCTTTTATTTATTTATATATCATGTTTATTATTTGTGTATCATGTTATTACATATTTATTTTATTGGATATTTAATAAAATTAATTTTTTCTTATATTTTGATGTTTCATTAAAAAAAAAAAAATAGGTGAAAAATAAGTTTCGTCGATTCCCAGTTAGCGATCTCGTTGCCAGACGAGAAAAAGCCTTGGGATGTTCGTGAATCGTCGGATTCAAACTCGAGGGCGGAAAAGGAGAAACACGTGCCCGCTCGTTGCGTCGGACGAAAATTCGAAAACTCTCGAGGCCTCGAGAATCAGCGACTGTTCGAGATTCCCTTTGTCCGAGTCCAATGTTCCAAATGGCCGGCTGGTCTGCTCTTTCGAAATTGCGAGGTTTTCCGTTCTCTCCTCCGTTTCGACTTTCACGTACATATGAATTTCGATGTGACATTCAGCTTCTGTAAATCGCGACGGATAATTTCTATATTTTTCTAACCTCTTGTACAGGGTGATTCACGTAATTTGCACGCTTGAAGTGACTTTTGAATTGTGCGTCCAAAAAATTGTTTAATACAAAAGTTGTATGGTTTTAAAGTAGGCAAAATATGGCGTGTCGATTTTTTTGTGTTTTTCAAAATTTTCAAGGTCACCTTTACTTCTTCTAAATGGACCATATATTCTTTTCATCATAAATCGAAAGAGTATTAAATTCTTGTATATACTATATACTATAAATACTAGATACTATATACTATATATACTAGATACTAAATACTATATACTATATATACTAGATACTAAATACTATATACTATATATACTAGATACTAAATACTATATACTATATATACTAGATACTAAATACTATATACTATATATACTAGATACTAAATACTATATACTATATATACTAGATACTAAATACTATATACTATATATACTAGATACTAAATACTATATACTATATATACTNAAAAAAAAAAAAAAAAAAAAAAAAAAAACAGCTCATCCACTGCAATAGTAATTTTTTTTCACTTCGAAATTAACTGACTGAAGATCGAAACGAGTCTTTCTTTCTTCCTTGCTTTTTTGTATTAGCGAGTGGAGTTAATGAAAAAGAGGGCACAGACGTCGAAAGTGGAAGGAAGAAGGAGAAACAGGGAAACGTGCGGATTAAACGAGTGTGCCGAGAGTTTGGGTTCCTCCTCGGCGTTCTTCGAATTGGCCGTTTCATGGGCGAACGGTGATTTCGAAGGTTCGTCGGGGGGATCATCATCGACGGAGGGACGAAGCTATCGCCACTCTTATCTACCTTGCTTCCGCTTCCGTCCCGGCGTAGGTCGCGAGGCTCGTTGCGAGTATTTACGCGCGCCGAGGACTACGCGATAAAATGCACGATCGCCCTCGAACATCGTAAAAACAGTGATAAATCTCACTTGTTATCGCAATCGCGCGCTCTCTTTACGACCGGATCGCTTGTACAGCTGAGACACTGCTCGCGAAAACCAAAAATTGCGACCGAGAAACGTTGCGCCGTGATCGTCGAGGTATTTTCGAAGATCTTTCGACGTTTATGTCGAAAATACACTCGCCACGTGGTGAAAGAAATTTGCATCTGCTGTTAAAGTGAAATTTGTGTAAACGTTCATTTCAGAACGAACAGAAAACATGTTGGAATGTTTTAGAAAACATTCATTTTAGAAATAGTATTATTTCATGAAAAAGAAAAAAAATTATATATAATTGATAGCATTCTAAAATGAATTAGAATTTAGGATGCAAAAGAAAAAAAAAACTGTCAATTGTAATTGCGTACAATTCTTTTCTATGAAATAATACAATTTTATAATGAATATTTACAATGGAACGTGATTTAAAATAGCAACTAGAAAAGTTTATTAATTTTATTGCAAGATTTTACTGTAATTTAAATATAGTTTTTATATTATATAGTTTTTAAATATACTGTAATTTAATATAGTTTTTATATTATTCAAAATTTAATACACTTTTAATATATAAATTTTATTACAGTTTATTTCAATTCCATAGCAAATGCGCTTGTTATGCTTTCGACGAGTATACTCGTCACGCAGTGAAAGAAAACTTGCATTTGCAGTTAAAGTAGAATTTGGGTAAAACGAAAAACCAAATTCGTAATTTTCATCATTCATTTCAAAATAAATGAATTTAGGATAAAAAAAGAAAGAAATTGTTATCAATCAACATGTAATTTAATATTACAATATCAGATTGTAACATCAAATTATTACATGTAACTTTTTATGAAATGATACAACGAAATAATACGGCGAGGCATGATTTAAAAAAAAAAAAGACCAGAGAATTTCATAATTCATTATAAAATTTTATTACAACGTCATATATTTTTCACTTGCTGCTTGAAATTTAATACAACTCTTTCAATACATTCTTAAATCTTATAATTTATTTCATATTAATCTCATGGCAAATGCACTTTATTACTCCGCTTTCGTCGAATATACTCAGCATAAAAATAAACGAGCACATTCTCCGCACGAAGTACGTAATAAAACACTCGGTAGGGGTCAAGTCGAACGAAGAAACGGGACGAGCAAGTGTTGAAAAAGGTAGCCACGTGACAAAGAACGATCCCTGCGCGGAGCACATCGTCGTCTTCTCCCGCGAGATCACGCGAGAAATACGTTCGCGTCTCCGTACACAGCCGTATTGATACTGAACGAGGATTACGTCCGAGCGCGCACGGATTCGAGGCCTCGATAGAGTTCCACCACCGTGGAACAGAACACAAAATTCTCGACGCCCGTAACTAGGAACTTTCTCACTCGGGTTTCGCTCTTTTTGTTTCGTTCAAGAAAGCCAGCAGGCTTTCGGGAGGGGGAACTCTCTCGCTCCAGTGACTCCGGCGTGTCTGCACACAACTTGCCGAGTGAATCATTCCTCTTGTGTCGATTTCGTTCGATTCCCCCTCGCTTTGCAGTTAATGGGGGAAAGCGGTAGATTCAGGGGACCGCGTTAACTGAAACGGAACGTTCGTTTGTCCACGTTGGCGAGGTTATTTATACACGCCTCTCGTATCCAATTTCTATCCGGGGCGAAACGATTTCTCTCGGTCAAGATCGACCGACGTATCGACTGATTCGCTCGGTCGATACATACTTTACTATCCTTGGGGAAAATATTTCGATATTTCGGTCGAGAGAGTGTGAAGTATGTGCTTCGTGTCAAATTGACTGGAAAATCAGAAAGCTCCAACCTCGTGTCTATTTTTTTTCTTTTTTCTTTCTTTCTCTTATTTTGAGCCAGGTGGTTCTTTCAAACCAGTGCATGACGTCACGGTTTCACAGACCATTTGCCAGCTCGTTGGTGACGTACCTGTCACGCGCACACTTCCGATCGGTCGCTGACATCCCTGCAACACCGACGGTGGGTGGCACAATTTTGGCTCGCGTGTACATACGTATGTACATATCTCGAGCGATGCAAGAACAGGCTCTGCCAGGATGGAACGGCTAGATTATGCGCGGCAAGACCCGGATGTGTCACCGTGCATGCCTTCGCCACCCCCAGCCGACCAATCCTGGCCATTGTCGTTCCAGTTTTCGATCCGTATGCCGTTTACCATTTGCCAATGATTCGAACCAATTCGGAGCTCGCGCATGTAACATCCAGTGTATTTTTCAACGGCAGTAAGTGTTATAAAAAGTGTTTTATCGCACATAATTTATAATTAGAAATAATATGTATATAAATATTAATATAAATAATATAGGAAAGATTATATAGAGTGGTCCATTTAAGTAAGACCTAACCTAAACATCTTATCCAGATTGTGGAGATGTAAAACAAATTTTCGGTATTGAAGGGTCAATAATTGGCAGGATTTTCTTTTCAGTCATGGGTGTTTTTTTTTTTTTTTTCATAAAACTATTTTTGGAACTACATATTTTTTTTTTATTCTATCGTGTAGCTGATGAAAAGATACGTTCAGATATATAAAGAACACAAGAAAATTTCACGTATGAATTTATCTTTATCGAGATCACAACCCAAAGTCGAATATTAATATTAGCTATATAAGGTTTGTTTTGACGATGATTTTGATATATTTATATACAGGGTGGTCCATTTAGGTAAGGCTACTTGAATACATATCCTTTTTTGAATTGTGACGGTGCAAAAATATTTTTTGCCCAACACGATTGTAAGAATTTGGCAAGGATTTTTTTTTCCTGGAGTTTTCAAGGTCATTCTTTTCATTCAACCATGTATTTTTTTATACGAAAGTGACCAGTTATTCTTTCAAAGAAAAACTTGAATTTTTACAAATCAAAACAGTATCACTTTAAGGTTATGTTCTTTACATGTCCAAACCATCTATTTTTTTACCAGCTACACGACGTAATAAAAAAAAAGATACATAGTTGTATTGAATGAAAAAAAAAAAAAATCAATAATCTTGAAAGCTCCAGAAAAAAAATGAATAACTTTTTACTTGGGAAAAGAATATTCTCACCTGTTATTGGTCCTTCGATACTATTCATATTAGGCGAGAAATATTTTCTGCACCGTTGCAATTTCGAAAAGATATTTAGGTAGCCTCACTCCAAATGGACCACCCTGTATAAGCTACTATCAGCGTATTTTATATCTTATACATTTTAATTGTATGTTACACGTTTAGCGACAGTAAAAACTTTCTCAACATCCTCGACTCTCCTTGGGAAAATCGTCGAGGCTATTTTCTGAAAATAGTTGTCAAACGTTTCCAAACTAACTAAAAGAAAATCCATTCGAATCTGAAGGCGTATACAAGGGAAATTGCTGGGCAGCTTGCGGCGAACGAGAATACGGGATACTCGTCGCTGCTTCGCTGCATTGTTCCACGTCGGCATTGTTCGTCGCAAGTTTCCTTTGACTTTCGAATAAAGTGCTGGCGAAGTAGCTCTACCAGAGGTACGGCACTACGTGATTCACCGTAGGCGAAAAGTCCCCGGAGAAAAACACCGATGATAATCGTTTGTCACAGAGTTCTCGTATCTCGCGAGTGGATACAGAAACTCTGTTTCTGTTCAGCCACAATAGCTACGATGTATCATTGGCATCGCCGTTTAGATTCAAGAATAATCGACAATGATCAATTAATAAAACGCACGTCACTGTATAATAAAATTCAATTTCCCTCTGAGCTTCAATCACTTGCGCTGGCAGCTGATTGCGGACCATAACGAGTGACCGAACCGTACACAATAATTTGTCGCTTTCTTTTTGAACTCAACGGTATGATATTTCTACCAGTGGATAGAAATTATTGAGGAGTAATAAATTTATTATCTGTTTTGCCTGGGTTACACTTAAATATACTTAAAACTGAGAAAATATTGCAATTTTGTTATTCCAGCGCAAGAGGTTAATCTGAGCGACTGTTGGATTTCCATGCACCCTGATATTTTTGAGAGTGTAAGGTCTAAAAATAAAATAAAATGTACAAATGCGAAAATCTCTCGTTCACTGTGTAAAAATAAATAAGGGAACAAAGCCTGTGACTGTGTTGAATCAAGTCTTACATTGTGTGAACGTAACTGATATCTTATTTTTCAGTTTCATTAACGTCGAGCTGAAAAAAAAAGCAAGAGCCACAATGTCAGCATCCTTTCATCGAAGACTGACAGATTGGACAGCTAGCAGCACTGTTAGATGAAGTTTATAGATTTTTTTCTTCCTCTTTTGTTACTTTGGGGACAGTTACTATATAATATACACAGTACATAGAAAAAAGAACCAGTGAAAAATAATGAAAGTAATTTTAAACAAATAATAATAATCGTTACATTTTTGTGTACTTGCTTGTGCGTCTGATACGTTAAAAATTTGTTTATTTCGTTATTGGTATTTGGTGTAACCGGATATTATCGTTGACAACCAGAGGCAAGCAACTCTTGTCAATAAAAAGAAAAAAAAAAAATTAAAAAAATAATACATGAAGCAAAATTTCACTTCGTCTAGATAATATTACTAAATAATAATTAGACTATTATATTACTAGATAATTACTAGATAATAATCCTGAAAATATTCCCACAAATTTTTATCCAAATTGATTCGATAGTCCTGCAGACATTTCCAGATATCAATTTTGACGTTCCCATTCTGTGGAAAAATCTTTCGTTTATCTGTCACCACTGCTCATCAAAACCAAAACTATTATACTCCAAGTTAATTATTTTCTAGATTAGCCGAAAAGAATCGCAAACTCGCAACATGTATAATTTTTCGAAAAATTGACTTCCTCGACTTCATCTTCAAGACTTCAAAAAGAGTCTCGTGTATTGATTATTCGTTTCTAATGGGCGTTTCAATTCCGCGAGTTAAATTACCGTGACCGATTTCTCTTTCGGCCGTTCATCAGGCCGATCTCCCTAAACAACGTTTGGGCCGCGCCGCGAATCCGGTCCAAGGAAGAACGAGGAAAGTTCGTACGCTCGGTATAAAGACGATAACAGCGGGTTCGAGTGCGCTCTTGAAAGCTTCGAAAGTTCGAGTCTTTCCGATACGACGATAAAACGAATGATTAATCGAAATTTTGGTCCTAGGTTCTGAAAGAGAACGAGGGAAAGCCCTGGTGTTTCTGAGCAGCTCGTTGACAACAACGAGCGTGAACTAACGAACGAGCACAGCCACGGTCGTGCGTTCCTGCTTCGATCCCTGGATCCTTTCACTTTTTAACCCAGTTTCCATCGTCAGGCCGGCAGCAGGTCGCAGCGACCGATCAGCTAGTAATTAACGTCCTTTCTCTTTTTCTCTCTCTCTCTCTCTCTCGTGACTTTCATCCCTTCGCCAAATCTCTCGTTTTCCTTGCAAATTCTTCTTTTTCTTCAGGCAACTGAGACAAAGTTTACGCGAGGAATTGTGTGCAATGGCGAGGCAGTCGGAGAGGAAAATGCCAGGTGAGCTGTCGCTCGAAATGCCACCTCTCCGTCTTCCCGGCTGAGAGACGCGAGCCTTGAGCTCGTGCTCTTTAGTCGTTGAACGAGAATGTGCGGGATCAATTGGATGGTGGCGATCGACGGTGATAATTAACACCTTGACGATCCTTCATCGACACAAATACGAGAGACATATGGAATGCGTTTCCCTCCTCCTCCGCCCTCCGACTGACTGAACCAGTATATACGTCGCATTCCGCACGTGACATTTCGAAATACATACAGTGTGTTTAACAAGAACGTAGACGCCCCATTTCTTTAAAAAGAAATATTCTTCTTTGCAAAGAAGATCGATTTTTTACACCTAACATATCATTTTCACGCACTTAATCAATAGCAATGAGTCCAATCTTTACCACTAGCGATTATTGCTTGGACGTGCTTTCCACCAACTCTATCGAAACCACGTCGAATAATGTCTAGCGTGGGCCTATGAAAATATCGGCCGTGATTGGACTAATGTCTTCATCAACGAATCCTCTGTTCTGGCACGGTATCCTGTCAAACGAGCCTAGTCTGTCCACCTGGAAATCCAATTGTCCAGAGACCTGTCAAACGTCCAATAAAAGTGCACGTTTGGGGCTGCTTTGATGTTTCGCGGATTTTGGTACTGCTGGCGCAAGAATATTAAACATTCTTGGGCTCTGAAGCATGGTCTAGTTTATATTTCCGTTGGACATTCTTTTGAACGTTTTCTTTCAACGTTTACTAGATCTAAAGCTCTGAAACATCGCGTAGATCAAGACGATCGCTGACTCGTGAGCCTCTTGCGTTTAGTGTCCTCTAGAAACGGTTGGCATCGATCGTTTTATCGATGCTTTAATTTCATCGTTTTTAAATGACCTACAGCAGAGCAATTAAATGGCTCGTTCTTTGAATCTGACTGACTAGATCGAACTAGCCCGTTCTAACGGAAACAGGCTCGCGGGCCGCCGCGTTTGAGAAACGTTAGACTCTTCAACGAATCAGAATCGTTGCAATTTTCACCGATCGTACAGAAACGGTATAATTTCCTCGAAGTCGGAAACGTTGCAATCTGCACGTCGTACAGAAACGATTGCAATATTATTCATCGAGCAATCAACACGAATCAGAAACGATTATAATTTTCAACGAAGAAGAATCTCTATGATTTCAACGAGTAGTCAACACGTAAAGAATTTGTAGTTCTTCGCGAAGTAAAGCAGTCTCGTTTGCAAGTTGAAGTTTCACTTAGAGTTAGACAAGACAAGTTCACGATCCATTAAACACACATATCAATACCCAGAAGCCACACTCGACAATACGGCCAGTGCAGCCACGAGTAAGTCGCAACGGGGACTTTGCGCGTCTTTGCGAACAATCGAGACGCTCGGATGACGATCAAATTGTACGATAGAGGACTTTTAACGTCTGTGAAACATTGGTTTGACGAAGGAAACCAGTCTTGGATACTTCGGGAAGATAACGATCCCAAGCATCGAAGCGGCGTTTGCACGCGATGGAAAAGGGAAAACGGTATCAGCGTGTTGGACTGGCCGTCTCGGTCCCCCAATGCCGATCCAACTGAAAATATTTGGTCAATCGTGAAGCATAGACTGCGAGGGGCGCGTGTCTTAACAATGGGAAACCTGAGTCATCGAATTCGAGAAATACGGAGATCTTTGCCTGTCTTGTACCAATGTGATTGTGAGGCGTTTGCGATTTGATGATCAACGACGTCCATGGAATATTAACGTGTGGCAAGTAAATGGTTCTAATGATTTATCTTCGAGACAAATTATCGTAAAACATCGTAACACTCCTTAACCATTAGGTTTAGAAGCTTGAAATTTAATATTCTTTCGATTTACGATGAAAAAAAATGTACAGTTCAATTTAAAAAGAAGTAGAAATGAAATTTGGGTAACTTCGAAATCCACAAGAAATTGATTTCAATATTCACCCGTGTATTAACCACTTGCGCTGGCAGCTGATTGCGGACCATAACGAGTGACCGAACCGTATACAAGTAATTCGTCGCTTTCTTCTTGAACACGTCGTCGTACGTTATCGCTGGATAGAAATTATTGAGTAGCAATAAATTTCTTATTATTTGTTTTTCACTTAAATACACTTAAAACTGAGGAAATATTGCTAAATTTTGATTCAACAATTTTTCATTAGATCCACGCGAAACGGATCGATCGGGAGTGAAATCGCGACGGAGGGCCCTCTCGGAGGGATGGCGAAATTTCACCTTTCACCCGGTGAAATTTGAAAAAGGAAATCGGGTCGCGTTTGGAAATCCGAAGCTCCGAGTTGCCGGAGAGCGGCAATTCCGTTGTTTATCCGCAGCTTTCCCCACTCGGGTGGCAAGTGTTTTCACCTCTTTGGTGTTACGCGCCGCGTAGTGCCGGCCCAAACATCGGCCAAAGAAGACAAGCGAGAGAAGCCGCGGCTTTGCTCTCCTCGATCGGTACGCGACGCGACACCATCCTCCCTCAGTCCCGCGATCATGTCGTTATCGTCGAAAGGGAGCTTCCTTCTCGTTTCTTGCTTGCTCGCGACGACGATGCTCGCCGCGACGTCCGCGAAACCGACCATCTACAAGAGAAATCAGGACAACGTGTTCGAGCCAGGTGAGGCCTTCGCTTTTACCCTCGGGTGTTGCTCGCGCCCGCAATTTGCAGAGTCGTTTCGTAAGGAGCAATCAATTACGCTTGCTAACTAAATGCTAAACAATTGATTATTAAATTAATGGCTATTAATTAACGGACAAGTTGCGTCAGTGTTCGCGCAACTGCGTGTCAAGAGCAGGTTACAGCTTAACAAGATTTTGTAATCAAGTGATTCTTTTCTCTTCTTTTCTTCTCTCTTCTCGAGTTGTCAGTCGTGTGACAAAACATTCTTTTTTTTTTTTTTTTGTTTCACTTTCATGCCTGTCTTCTTCCCGTACTGGACGTTCATTCCTGCTCGGAAGTCTTGGTACAAATTTTATTGCAAGGTTTGTGTGATAAAAATAGTACAGTAGAAGTAAATTGTGAATTACGATACGATAAATAAATGCCGAGATGTTACAATGTAAATTACACAATATGCAATATAATTAAACAGAACAAATGTGAAACATACTTTATACGATAAAGACTCTATATCAATATATATATAAAATTAAATTAAATACAAAATACATTTATTTACATTTATTTACATTTACATTTAATTTTTAAATTAAATGCAATATGTACAATCTGATTAAATATAATAGATATAAAGGATATTTTATTCACAACAAAGACTTTGTTAATACATTAATATATTGTATTATTATATTATAAAATATGTATACATGATAGGTATATACTAATATATAAGTGTATATAAGCGTATACTTATCGTGTATATATATATTTTATAATATATATATAGTATATACTATAATATAATATATATTATATAAATAGTACATACTATAATATAATATATATATTTTATTATATATACACGTGATAATACACGACAAATATGTTAGTGAATACTAAATAAAAATAAAAGTGTCCTAAGACTTTCGAGCAGAAGTGTAAATGCGTCCGAAATTTCTTTTTCCCACAATGTACAATAATTCTTAAGTTTCTTAAGTTTCAATCGTTATTGTCTTCCGGAGCTGCTCAAGCAGAGATATCCTTTTTGCGAAAGAAAGCCGAGTGAATTTTGGCGCGCAAGAGGTCGAGAAAGTCTTAAAAAAAAAAAAAAAGAAATCGAAAGTTTCGGTGTCTGCTCTGCCGGTAACGCAGGAAATCGCGCACGATCGTCTGGTCACAGGAAAACTTTCACTTCAATTGTTGCCGCGGTGAAGATTCGCCTTGACCTCTCTTTCCTTGCGAGAAAATTTGCTTTTTTCTTTTTCTCCCGTGTTGTATTATGTTCTACTCTGACAATTTTTGACATTTTGGAAGCTATTGGAAACTTTTTGCTTACTGTACGCGTACACTCTGCATAATTATTGCATAAATTACATTTACACGCCATTGCGTACATCGCGTCATCTTAATTACTCATATTTCTCTAAGAAAAAAAAAAAAAAAAAAAATGATTGTAACGTACGATCTTAAAAAAAAAACTTACGTGCAATGTATGATCTAACTTGCGATGACTAACTCGTGCAAACTGATTCTCGAAGCTTGTTCACCTTGCTCGATAGAACGAGACAACGATAAGGACAAATTACGAAAGGATCGACAAATGAATCGACGTCTCGAAAATATCTGATCTAACACCGATGGAATTTCAAAGAGCTCGATCGAATTTGTGACTGCTCGTTACTTGCTAAGCAACGCGAGACAAGGAAATTTTATACAGTTCGAACCTGTGGCCAGATAAAGAGCCGATCTCTCTCGAATCCCGAATTTTCTTGAAGCGATGCTCAATGCTTTGTGGGTAAGCGTAACGGAACGATGACGTCAGTGCACGTCCAGCGTGGGCTTCGATTATAGCAAGATCGCGATCGTATCCTTGGAGCAGCTGTGTTTTTCCGCTGGTGAAAGAAACCTGATTAGTTTTCAGAATAGCAGGATTACTCTAGCTGCTGCTAGATTATTATCTATTACGCACCGCACTTGTTGCCCCTCGACGTTTCTTTTTTAGGTTAGAAGACGCGCCAGTGTACACGCCGCCATTTTCTTTCGTGGCGTTATGTATCGATTTTCATCGATTCATCTTTCGTGAACCGTTTGCACTCGACTTCTGTCCCTTCTGAGGGGACGTCGTACGTGGGTAGCTCGGATTTCTTCTTTTTATAATTTGCTGATCATTATTGTGAACGTATACATTTGGTATTGTTGTATGATATGATATAATTTTGTATAATATCTGAATAGATATGCCTAGAGTGGGTTTAAAAGCTATAATAACGACGATAAGAAGGACAAAAGAATTTTAGAAAAAGAAATTTCTAAAGGCAGTCAGATACTCGGGTATTCTATACAATTTTATCTGATTTTTCGAGCCATTTGTAATTTACATAATAATTTGTGTAATTGGAGAAAAAAGAAATATCCAAGGTTGATAAGAGATATTTATGTACACCAGCAATAACTGCCAAGTTTGGGAAGTGTATCTTCTACAACTGGAAATATTCAAGACAAACGAGTAACCTAACCTAAATCTACTATTCGAAAATGCGATTTATCGACTTTTATATTAATTTTAATTTAAAACAGTTGCTTCGTTGTTTTTATTATTTGTCGTTTAAATAAAAATTACATTGTAGACATCCGAGTAGAAACAATAAATGTGTAGCTTGAACTATCAATTCGAAACCGGAGCCATTGATCAGAGATCGTACGACACGACGAGCAGGATTTGCATTTACAAGGAATGAATGAAGGAAAATCCAACGCCATTGAGTTATTACGCCACTAGGAAAATCGAATTATCGGGTCATTACTAACGTCGAGTTCATCGAGTTACGATGATCGAGTTAACAGTTTCTTGATAACGTCGAACGACTTCGATCGCTAACTTATACGTAGCTGCGGGCCAACGATTAATACGTAATTAAAACTCCGTTAGAAAACCGAGATCACTTTCTAGTCGCTTCTCCTTTCACGAGATGGCTCATCGTTTCTATTAATTGTCAATCCTCGGCGTTGGTCATCGATGATTTTGTAAACGGACGATTTTTTCATGCATTATTGAACAACCAAGTATTGCGTTTATCTCATCGTATCTTACGATATCTTATGACCGCTAAAAATAGGCGAGTGTCGCGAGAAACGATAATACTTGGAATTTTTACGATTCATCTTTGATACCACAGAAAAAAAAGAGAGAGATTGATATCTTAATGAGTCGCCTACGAGATACTACGTGTACTTGTGGAGATAAAAGAAAAATAACGATAGTGATGAAGAAAATTTTGAATTTATTTCATCATTTGCGTAACTCTTGAATGAAACCTACTAATTTCGTTCGTTGTTTCAGTGATGGTACCAGTTTCGTCCACGGTGATCCCCCTCTCAGTTTACAAAACGGAATATGGTTTGGGATTTATATCGAAGGACAAGAAGCAATCGTCCTTCAAGCCAGAGGATGGAGTTAAACTGATAACGAGTAAGTGAAACTTTGCACGTATATACGCATGCGTGAAACGTAAAAGTTAAAAGCATCGTTTCTTACAGTTAAGAAGAGCCACGAATAGAAAACGTAAAAGTACAAATGCAAGCTAAGTACAGGCCAACTTTTACTCATACGGCAAAGTAGTACTAACAAAAGTGAGATGGTATAAATTTATCCCGTCGAGGCTAGACATTGTAAGTGAATCTCGGATTGCAAGAGATTTGCATCTCACGTGATGACAGAAAATTCACACCAAAAACTTATTTACCTCGATAATTAATCTTGTCATTTTGAATATATTGATAATCATAACCAGAATCAAACATTGCGAAGCCAAACTGTAGCAAGTATGGAAACAGAATCTGTTAAGTTTTTCTTTTTGTATTTAATTTGAAATATAGCACGCCACTTCTGACATAATGTTTATACGTATATCAGGTTTAATATTGTAAGAAAGCAGGTGTAAGTAAGAAATTGCAAACTTTTATTAAACAACGTCCATGTCATTATTTATTTATCTATCGTTACGATATTTCCATTGGTTCTTCCGCTGGAACAAAAAACAGTTACACGAATAAAGTTTGAAAAAACGTAAAGACTTCAGGACCTCCCCCTTTTTTCTTTTTCTTAAAATTTACTTACGTATTTCGTTGAACATGAAATCATCCTGATATTCTTTGAGAAACTGGGTGGATCTATTTTCATCGAGGAACAACGAGTAGACACGTTTCACGTCATCGATATTGACCTAAAAACATATTGCATATTATCATTAGATTTTCGGTGTAAGAATGATAGTATAACTCAGTATTTACTTCTGTGCTCTTTCTTCGCCGACTAACGAGAGAAGCAGTCGTAATCAATTGAATCGCGTATCTCAACGAGGTTTCCAACGCGATTCTGGTAAGAACCGTTAAAGCGTCATCCGCCATTTCACAATCTTCTTCTTCGCACCTTATCTTTAGAATTTCTTTCAATTCTTTCTCTTGATACGGACTTGTCGGGACAATGATCATACGATCCAACAAATCTATTGGGATGCCATGCGGACTCTTGTAATTTGTCCCTCTGATTCTCGTAATACCTATAAAGTTCAACGATCTTAATATTTTGTGTTAATCAAGATAGCATACGAGTTTGTACAAGCACCTCTGTTTGTAGCCATGATAACGACCGGTGCCATCTCATTTTCCAGCGCCCGATTAAGGAACGAGAAGCATTCTATGTCGAGCATATGAACCTCGTCGATGAATAAAACGCCTGGAACGATTTCTGCTTTCCCTTCCTCGCGCCACTCGGCGACTTTCGCGTTTATTTGATCGCGCACTTCTGATTTAATTTCTCCAGTGTCGCCAGAGAACAGCGCCAGAAATCCGTGGGTTCTACTGTTTATAACATCAACCTCATGCAACGTTACTGTATGGACGACCTCTTTGCGTTTTTGCAGTTCACCCTCGGGACACTGCACGAAGCGAGTTTGAGAGCCAGTCGCGTCGTAGTCACGGGCTCTGGTGAATGACCTTCCCAGCCTGTTTATTTTGCCTGTGGCTTTGTCGATTGTGATCACATCTCCAGCTTGCACCTTAGTTTAAGTAAATCGTCATTTCAAGAAATCCGAGAAATGAGAGGAAAGCAAACAGTCATTATTCGTTCTTACTAACTTTCTCTTTCATCAAACTGTCGATCATCTTGTTCCCCAGGTCGTAGATTGTTTCCATCTCCGTTGTCTTCAGGGTTAGCTTTCCAACTTTAGCGCCCACACCTGTAGCAGGTCTGTCCACTTGTATTTCGACCACTTCACCTTCTATAATTTCTGTCTCCTCCTTGATCCTGACACCAATGGATTTCCTAATGGCCTGAGTAAGAGCTTCGGTTTTGCTCATTTCCAACGAATATATTTCAGAACCTGCCATTGAGGTAAACGGAGTGTCCATGCCCAAGGCTTGTGCCATTCCCATGGCAATGGCAGTTTTCCCAGTACCAGGTTGGCCTGCCAACAATATAGCTCTACCTGCTATTTTACCATCTTTGATCATTTCAAGGACAACGCCTGCAGCTCTCCGCGCCATAAGCTGACCAACCATACCCTGCGATACCTAAATAATCAATTACAAAGTTAATGGAAGTCTGTGCTCGAGTAATGATACATAAAAGGCTAATATATACGTACATGACGAGGTTCCAAACTATCGTCCAAACCTAAACCTCGAATATGAGAATGTGCGCCAATTCTCTCAATTCTTGTGATTTCACGAACTTCTTGGCATTTTGCAGCTGCAACAGTCTGAAATAAAGAAAGCAATTTTATTAATCAAATAAACATGTAATATATTCAGTAGTATGTAAATTTGTTTCCTTTTTCAATTCCATTAATTAATTAATGGTATTAGAATATAGAATATTTTAGAAATATATACTTTTTGTAGTTAATAAGTTAATAAGTATTTTATTATATATATAAGTTAATATAGTTATTTTATTTATTATACGTATATATATTATAATATAATATATAGCATTTCAAAAGTAATATAGTAAAAAGAGCATTTTTTATATTTTACGACATTTGAGGAAAAAAGAATAGATTTTGTATAGGTTAATTGGACTGAACAGAACAAAAATGTATTAGTAACAACGCATTTGTCAAATATGATGCAACAAATTGAAATTGGTGAATAATTATAGCATTAATTTGTAATGAACATTTACCGTCATGTTTGTAAAATTCCTACGTGTGGATTAATGCTACTGTTATTGACAAAACAGAATCTTTAAAACCAAGCGGCGTCACGAATAATGTGTATTCTAGTTAGGGAACTTACAACTACACAGAGTGTACACGTTTAAAAGAGTCATCTGGAAGTGCACCTCGAACTATCAAATTTAATGTATCGACAATTGCTGTGGAAACTAATTTGAGCGATAAAAATTTAATTTAAACAAAGCTGAGCAAATAAACTGGTTCAATTCATTTCCATAAATTTGCCTAAAATTTACCAGAATTTACCAGAAATCACTAGGGGTTGCACGCGGTGTATGTCTGTCCTTGTCACTCGCTTTATTGGCAAGGTGCTGCCATCTGCTAGGTTTTTCTAAAATTATCTATCGAGGAAAAGCAATGCGCTGCTGAATTGATCGAAATTTCAGTTTTTATCGTTTCAGTTCCGGTCGGAATTGAGAAGTGTTCAGATGGCAGCATTGGCTACAAACAAGGAGCGCACCAGTGTGCGACAAGAATAGATACATCTCACGTGACAGACAAGGAGCACGCTAGTGTACGACAAGGACAGCGATAATGGTTAGTTCGGCCGCTTCACCGCTACGCGGCGCTAGCATTTGAATGTCCATGAAAGGATCAAATGTTCATTCGCAAAAAAAGCTAATTAACAGGATCAATTCGCGAACTTTTTCAACTGCGTCATTAAAATTAGACTCATAGCTTTCTCCTTGCACTCCTCTCGATCTATGAAATGTTCGTGTAAAGATTTAGAAATTCCATTCAATAGATCGAAACATTGGCTGGCACGAGGCTCAATTTCTCGTACATTATATTAAAAAACCTGGTTCAAAATCGAACCAGATAGATCTAATCAAAAGTAGTAGAGCGAAAATACGAGGTTTCTCATATCCTTGAATTCAAACATCCTTTATTTGTTTATAATTTAAGTTATAACTTCATCCCTGATTCAGATCCCTGCCACATGTTTTGCAAACACACAGAAAAGAAATCTGAAAGACGTGTGTGTATACACAAGCTGTGAACGATCCAAACACGTTGGAAATTTTACCCGATGATTGAGATGCGAACTTTGTAAATTTAGCAATTTGTCAATATATACGTACATACGTACATACGTATGAACAACTAAAAATAATCGTCAGCCGACGAAAACGAGCCGCAAGTATCACGGCGAAAAATGAGCGAGATTGATTGAGACCAACGACGGTCTCTCCCTCATACATATCTCGTGTGCCATCTGTCTGCTTGCGAAAGACACACGGGGGCAATGTGTTTATCAGTGAATCGAGCAAGATTCGTCGTGTTTGAAGTGGGCCGAGTGACTCTAGCCCCGCCAAGACCTTGTGACCTTTCGTAGTTTGTGGTGACCTTCACTAGAGGTTGACCGTGGAGTTGCTTGCCTGTTCGCCACCTATCTGCTCCTCGTCTCTCTCTTTCTTTTTATTTTTCTATTGTGATACATCGCACCGGCCGGAAGTAAGTGAATTCCCTCGAAACTTGAACGTTTGTTGCCTTTTCACAAGGAAAGTCTCTGACGCCGCGTGGTGTTACAAAACCGGCAAACCCTCGCGGAAGTGAAGATACCTAGCATTGTCACTGATCTTTTGTAGTTTCTTTAGGCTGCGACGTGCTATTTTTCCGGCACAATATCGCTTCGATCGTTCGAGTACTCTTAGGAAAACGCTTGCTGCTCAATAAAACGATCATACTTGCGCGCGTTGATTTCGATCCTCGTGTTGAAACAGAACATTCGAAAATTCAAATGTGGAATAAAGTGATCGTACGCGGCACAAGTGTCGAGTTATATTTGTCATTGTATTTTTAGTCAAGTCCCATTGTAGTTTCATTTTGTTTCATTTCTCTTCTCTTTTTATCTTTAGCTAAGTCCCATTGTACTGTTATTTTGTTTCATTTCTTAAGTGCTTGGTATTCATTTCTTGAATACTATATCTTTAGTCAAGTTCCAATACTTTTATTTCATTTCTTAAATAACTTCTCTGAGAAATGAAATACAGAGAAATGCATGTGTAATTGTAAATATGAGAAATTGCAAAATACGTGGAAAATTCTGTAGAAAAAAAGAAAGGTAACAAAGACTGTTGATATACATATTACCATCAAGTGATCCAAAGCCTCTTTTTGCACATTCTGGTTCCTTCAAAGACAATGCTACATTAGTGTGTATGTTTAACAATTTTAATGAATTTAAGGTTGCCAAAGGGACAGCAGGATGTCAAGGGAACGTGTAGCAAGAAGATTTTATCGTATGGACAGCAGTAATGATTTATTTGAATTTATGGATCGTGGATATTCAGCACAGCATGAAAACCGATGGAACTTTGAAGTTGCATGGGAGGCTGCCAATAAAGGTATATTCAATAGAACAAGTGAATTTGTCAATCTGTCAATTTGTAACAATTGTTATCATTACATTTTCAGTTGGTGGTATATACACTGTAATTAGGTCCAAAGCTTTTGTATCAACAGAAGAAATGGGAGACCAATATTGCCTTATTGGCCCATACAAAGAAGCCTCAGCACGTACTGAGGTTGAGGAGGCAGAGTTTCCACACAATAGCCCACTGAATCTAGCTGTACAAGTCTTACGTGATCAAGGATTTAAAGTAAGTTTAAATAATAATTTCCCTGCAACATATTTTAAGTATTTAATTGATACTCCAATCACAGAGACAAAGTAACAAAAGAGAAAATTATTTAGGCAAACAACTTGTTAGAGTTATATACTTTCATTTACTGAAATATGTATTAAAAATAGTGATTTGGCTAAAGTCCAGATGCAAAGCCAAAATTGATTCAAGGGCAATTGCCCCTGCAAGTGAATTATGGCATAGATACACTTCATTCATTGTTATATCTTTACAACATAACAGTGTAATTATGTTATGTATTATTGTAATTACACTATGCAATATTACATTATAATAACATGATAACTGTAATATCTTTGAAAATCTACTTTACCATAAAGTAAGAGCTCTTATTGAGGTGGTAACAGGAACCTGGCTAGTGGATGGAAACCCACAGATCATTCTGTTTGATATTGGAAGTGCAGCGTGGAAATTAGACGAGTATAAGCAGGAATTGTGGAACACCTGTAATCTCGGTATTCCTCACTTGGATATAGAAGCTAACGACTCTGTTATTCTTGGTTATCTCGTTTGTCAATTTATCTCAGAGTTCAGGTGAATTTCACAGGAAAGCCAATTTTCCCTCAATGTTCACCGAAATGGTAAACGTAAATTTTTCAACTTCAGGCAAGCTGCTGAAGAATACTCCGATGTTCCTCCTCGTGTCGTCGTTCATTGCCACGAGTGGCAAGCCGGTGTTGGTTTGATCGCGTTAAGAACCAGACACGTAGACGTTGCTACAGTTTTCACCACGCACGCCACTCTTCTTGGAAGATACCTATGCGCGGGGAAGACTGATTTCTACAATAATTTGGACACGGTATCGTATCCTTACTTAAATTGGCTGGAATCTTTTTTCTTGGCATCGCTTTGAAACATTTTAATTTTCAATTTATTTGTAGTTCAACGTGGACGAAGAAGCAGGAAAGCGTCAAATTTATCACAGATACTGCATGGAACGTGCAGCCACGCACCTGGCGCACATATTCACAACTGTCTCAGACATAACTGGCTTCGAAGCGGAGCATTTGCTGAAACGTAAACCCGACATCATCACGCCGAACGGGCTCAACGTAAAAAAGTTCGCGGCACTTCATGAATTTCAAAATTTGCACGCTGTTAGTAAAGAGAAGATACACGAGTTCGTGAGGGGTCATTTTTATGGGTGCGTACTATGGAGTAACGTTCGTCCCCTATGTTTGGTTAAACGTACGTAATTACGTCTGAATCATCGTTTCAGGCATTACGATTTCGATCTGGATAAAACTCTGTACTTCTTCATCGCTGGACGTTACGAGTTTGGGAACAAAGGCGCCGATATATTCATCGAGGCCCTGGCTAGACTGAATCATTATTTGAAAACGTCTAAACCTGACGTAACTGTCGTTGCTTTCCTCATTTTTCCAGCGCGAACCAATAATTTCAATGTGGAGTCGTTACGTGGTCATGCTGTAAGTAAGATGATTTACTTCTCAAATACGGACATAGAACACGCATATTGCTCCTTAATACGATATTTTGCTTTCTCGTCGAAGGTTACCAAGTCTTTACGAGACACAATTAGCGACATACAGCAGAAAATTGGCAAGCGCATGTATGAACTGTGTCTTTCTGGTCGTATGCCTGACGCACAGGATCTCTTACAGAAGGAAGATACTATTAAAATCAAACGGTAACACGAAACTCGATTGAAATTGACAATGGATATCAATTACAGCGAGAGAAACCTAGTGAAATTATATGTATCGTTACAGATGTTTATATGCTTTACAAAGAAATGGATTGCCTCCGGTTACCACGCATAATGTTGTAGATGATTGGAACGACCCGGTATTAAACTCTATCAGAAGATGCAGTCTTTTCAATACAGTTAATGATCGAGTAAAGGTAATTTAAAAATATTTGAATTTCTTTCAATTCATGGTTATAAGTGACTTCATTATTCATTATTCATATAACAGCGTTATGTATTATTTGCTTTTGAGCGTCATTATACCTTTCTACGTATAGGGATAGTCATTAATGCAATTCAGTTAATACAACTGTGTTACCGAAGATTATATATATATAGAGCCTATGTTTTATTCAGTTAAATCAACGAATGTGTGGCTTCTATAATGATTTTGCAGTCTTTCTTTTAGCTGCGTTTGGATTCAAAGTATTCTGATCATTGTGCATTTTTAGATTATTAAGCTGCTGGCAAAGTTCGGCTCCATTATGCTTGTAACAGTGGACCAAGCAACAGAATTTACATTTCATTCATGCTGTCTTTTATCTTCCCACATTGTTTTGTGGGCATTCCTCTGTTGATTCCTCTTCCATTAATTGTTGAATCACCTCTTTATTAAATTCTTCATTTTTCATTCAAAGATATTTAGAAAAATCACTTTCCTCGTACATCGATTTCCGATTCAAAAATTATTATCCGTGTAAAAGAGATAATCCATGTTTGATTTGGAATCTTCATTTTCATTCCGGATATATACATTTAACAATCTTTTAATAGCACAGTTTCAGACAATTTGTGATAGAAAACACGATTTACGAAGTTTATGGGTAAAAAAAAAAAATTGTACATTATTCTCACTGTACAGTTACACGTAATTGGTATCAATTTCTATTGCAGATAGTCTTTCATCCAGAGTTCCTGTCGTCTACGAATCCATTATTCGGTCTCGATTACGAAGATTTCGTTAGAGGATGCCACTTAGGTGTTTTCCCGTCATATTACGAACCATGGGGATACACGCCTGCAGAATGTACCGTTATGGGTATTCCTAGTATAACCACGAACTTGTCTGGTTTCGGATGCTTCATGCAGGAACACATAGCTGACCCGATGAGTTATGGCATCTATATCGTGGACAGACGATTCATTGGCCTGGAGAGCAGTGTTCAACAGCTCGCTCAGTACATGTTCGACTTCGCGCGATTAAGTAGACGGCAACGTATCATTCAGAGAAATCGTACGGAACGTCTCAGCGATCTTCTTGACTGGAGAAACCTTGGCATCGTGAGTGTATTCGTTAATTTCTCATCTCTATTGCCTCCTCGTTTACATTACCAATTAAACGTGGAGCATATTTTTCCGACAGTATTATCGCCAAGCCAGAATCAAAGCGTTGACAACCGTTTATCCAGAATTGGCTTCAGAGTATGCCGAAGGTGGTGTAGGGCGTTTCAATTATCCTAGACCTATCAGCGAGCCACCGTCGCCTTCCTCCTCGAGGCACACCACTCCGGCTGCTTCGGTTCACGGTTCCGACGAGGAGGACGAGGTAGACGAGGAGAAGGAGGTTCGTGCTGTTTCACCAATCTTTTATTATCTCGGATTATATAACTGGGGAACTCCGAATTGAAAACTAAATTTTTGTTGTAGTTGGAAGAATTGCGTCAAACAGGTGGCAGATAAAATGGCAGAAGAAGATGTGGAATAACTAGTGTTACCGATACTAGCAACCCAATTGTGTATAATACGTGGAGACTTTGCGACACTAGTGCCAATAATTTGTTCAACACGGTCTTCCATGAAGAGAATCAGTCGAATAAGTCCTATACATTTGTTCCTTTTACACGCCATATATAAGAAACGATATCATGACAATATAACAGTATATATACATAACAGTATTTCCATTACACGACATTATACAAAATCATTACGAACAAGTCTTCCACGAATCATACTCGCAAGCGATGTTCCACTGATCCGTATATGAGATTGTTAAATTTTTAAAACTTTTAAAACCTATATTTAAATGTTACGCGTATCTATACACTTAGCGAGTGTTTCTATTGTATAGAGACGACTATATATATATATATATATTTTTATGAGGAATTAGAACAAGAATAAAAGTCTTTTTTTAACATTTTTTAGTCATCGAGTACTCGGAATGATATCAAACGGTTTGCCTCAATGATTCTCAATGTTTTCTGAAAAATAAAATTTTTCCAACGTTTTTATGTTATTATTTTAACCGGTTTTCCACTTTTTTTTTTTTTTTTTGACACGAACACTAATATACCTTCAGTTTGTAAGAATTGTTATATTATTAATTATCAACATAATATACAAAACAAAGTGCTAAAAAGTTACATTCTTTCACAACGGAAAAAAATCATTATTACATTTGGCATCCGCGGTTTACCAAACTGTCTTGCTTTCTACGGAAAAGCTTTAAAATAAATATATACATATTAAGAAACGAGCAACGCATTACATAACAGTATACCTCTTAATGCAACAAATATAACAGTACCGCAAAGCCGTCGGTCGTCTCTGCGATCAATTAAAAGTACTTTGAAATGTCTTTGATGATTATTACACTGAAGAAAGTGAAATTTTGGAATGGAATTCTCATTACCACCGTTAAAGCTGGGTAAATACACGAAGAGATTTATACGAGACGAGATTCAAAACACGTTTACCACCATTCACTTTACCGCTTTCATGACTTACACGCTAACGTTCATGTATTACAAAAATGCTGACACATCGAATATAAAATATTCTAGTTTTCCTATGATACACAATGATATATCAATATACGACGATCAACACTTTCTCCGTCGAAGCTACCGATCTTGTGAAACGATGAAAAACGATCTACCGCGGCAGGCAGTTTTAATTTCTAAACGCTAAAACAAGCGGACGACTCTCGGCGTAAATAGATTTCTCGTTTGCAAAATGACGATTAATCTCGACATCGGATAACATGATTCCTCAACACGACTGGCGAAGGTGTTGATCCGTATCATTCAAGAATAATAGTCACCATCGTAAAAAGTTGTTTCTCACGCTAGCAAAAATTACACGATCAAAGAAAATACAATGAATAATACGGTAAAAAATTTTTGACGAAAAAAAAAAAAAAAAGAAAGAGAAGCAAAACTGAATTGCGATTAGTTTCTTTTTTTTTTTTTTTAATCACCACATAAATTACGTAATCAAGTGAAAACAACTTTAGGCCTATGTCCCCCGTGAATGATACTGAAGATATGTTACGCATTCATCGACGAGGAAATGAACGACACGATACGCTCTAAAAAAAGAGAAGCAATAAAACTCATTCTCGCACGAGTGTACGTGTGAGCGATACCGGTTAAACCTAAATGGCACAGTTTTTATACATTACATATACAACGTGAAAACTTTACATAACGAACAAATTGTAATTACAATTTATTAAACGGAGAAACGAGTCGCGCGTTTTCTAATAAATGTTAAAATTGTTAATAATAATACGTGTCCGTAATACTTTGATTCCTTGATGCAATTCCTTCCTTTTCGAAGCTTTTCGAAGACCGCTTCTTACCCCGTACGGTTCGGGTTATGTTACGTTTATGTTATGTATCTATATCTTTCAACGAAAGTTTACGACACTTTGCGTGGAACTTTTGCCTTTGCTTTTGTCTCTCGACGTTTATTATTCGCGTGTAAAAATATTTGTGAATTTCTATGACAAAATATGCAGTTGCTAACGTAGCACGGTCTCCGTGTATCCGTCAAATATTATCTGATTTGTCGACGGGAAAATCAATTTTCTCGTGGCCAACTGTTGCCAGTTTCCATCGACTTGCCAGTTTCCATCGACTCATCATTAAGCAACGCTCGTGTAATTTTTTTTTCTTCTTTTTTTCTGCGAAGTACAATTGGCAGGAGATACTTCAACGTCTACTCGGTGATTTTATACTCGTTTGAAACACACAGAGTTTATGCTCTATCCTTGACAGACACACGGGCAAGTCTACAAAGCCGGTATACGTTTTTCTTTCTTTTAAATACGTTAAATCGGCAACTAGTTGCTCCTTTTTTTTTTTTTCCCCCTCGAGAACTGGCAAGTGTACATCGCTTACTGCTTACTGGATACGTTTGTTATACAGTTTCGAAGCTTTTTTTTAAGTATTCAGGGAAGAAAGGAAGGCTGCCTTTTCAAACCGTAGATACAAACAACCTTTAGTTGTCATAACAAGAGCACTAACATTATGATATATTCATTATCATACCATTGGTGTTCTTGTTATGATAATCGAAGGTTGTTATATACATATATATATATATATATTTATCGATTACTACGCGAATATATCAATGTTAGTGCTCTTGTTTTATATATATATATATATATATATAAATTTTATATATATATATAATTTATTTATTTATTTGAACACTAATCTAAGAGTCTTTAATTAATTGGCATTTAACGGCGTATGGCCTCAGGATACGAGAGTAAATTTCCCTTTGACAGAAAAGTTCTCAAACGCAACATTTCTAGTTGCCGTATTTTTTTTTTTTTTTTCTTTTCCTTTCTTTTCCTCCAGTTGTCTCTAAATTAGCCCGTTTAATATTTGGTCGCACGAAAATCGATGATAAATATTCTATTAACTTTGGCTAGAAACACACCATCCTCCAGTACGCGGAGGCGGGAACTCCAACTCGAGTCGAAAACGCAAGAAATCGTTGCTTCCCAGAAAAGAAAAAAAAGAGAGGAAAAAAAAAGGAAAAAAAAAAAGAAAAGAACGATATATTGACTTTTGAACGACCCAATTCCTTTCGCTGAGCCGTCAACTTTGCAGCAGCAGCAACGTTCACAACGAAATGCAACGATCGTCCCTCCCGTAATGTGTTAATAAAAAAATAGTTCGTTACTCGGATCTTCGATCTACTCGCGGAAATGGCGAGAAATTCAAGACAGGTTCATTTCAAAGTCAGTATCTTGAAACGTCTGCGTACCTTTTTGGCACACTTTTAGCATGACTGAGAGACTGGCGTAGTTTGTTCTTTTCTTTTTTTTTTTTTGTTTCATGTCGGTGCATAAAACGGTACATGGAAGGGGCACCGTGTGCAACCGCTGATCGTCCCGATCGTTCGTTTCCTTCTCTTCGGTGAACTGGACGGATTTTTACGTATGGCCTGGCTGCGTCCCTCCCATTCTCTGTTGCATCATGTTCAGCAGCAGCTCGGAGTACTGCTGCATCATGTTGACCACTTTCCCCTGGTCTTGGCCAGCGAGCAGCTCTTGGAACTTGGCGGTTGCCTCGTTCATCGTTACGTTCTCGGTGTTTGTCGAGCCCTCGTGGCCCTCGCCGCCCGAAACCACCAGCCGCAGTGTGCGCATCGTCTCGTTCACGGACGATTCGAGGCCGCGCAGCATCGTATCCCTGTCGATGCTCGCTCGGGACGGATCATCCTCGTTATCTATCGTCAAACGTTTGTACAGCTGCACGACGTTGTCCGCCGTTCGTGTTAATTCGTCCGCGATCGTGTTGCACAGCTGCGTTGACACTGCAAAGAGCAAACGTCTCTTAGTACATCAGTTGCACGGCCTTTATAAACAACGCAAACAACGTGTTTCAAAAACGCAAATGTCTTTCTTACGGCGACATTTACATTTTTTTCAACACGGTTCTCAGTTAGAAGCAAGCGGATATTACATGTATAGATATTACGACTTATATTTCAAACACGGGGCGTGTAGTACCCGCTTCGCAACATGGAGGTAAGAGGATGAATGAGAGATTCGTGCAGCGTGCAGGTTACATCAGTTCTAAAATCCGTAATGAGACCATGCTATTGTGATATCGAGACCTAGAGATTTGGGTAATATTCTAACGATGAGTGCTAGATTCTCCCTCTCTCTCTCTATATGTAACATGAGCTAGATAAGAATATTTTCATGACGAATTCTCGAGTGATCTCTCCTCGATGACTGGCATGAAATGTCAAACTTTCGTGATATTTATATACAGTTATTTACACACTTGTAAAAAAACTCGAACGGCAAACGAGTTTGAAATTTGAAAAGCGGTCAAACCTTCTCTCGCGGTGGGGGAGAGAACTCCCTCCGCGACTAATGAAACATACAAAGCAGAAGGAACAACGTTGAAAGTAAAATGCGGTATTTTGGACTCGAAGATGCAATGACGGTTGAACAACAAGGAAAGCTGAGTTACTCTCCGTTGCATGTCAAAAACACCGCTAACGTTCTCTTTGGAAGTTCCGAATGATCTGAATTATGTTACAGCACGTATTATGTACAGCGACCTACACAGACTATATATGTATAGATATATATATTCTAGTCTGTACTAAAGTTCGCACGGAACGATTTCTGCTTGAATGTGGTTTTCGCTTTGCCATAGCATGATCACTTACAAATTTTGTAACAGACTGAAAGATTTATTATTTTCACGGGACAGCATTCTCAATAGGTGTCTTTAGTTTACCTAATGTTTTGTCCGTGCCTACTGTAAGAGTAAAATCCTTGTTAGATTACACGCTTTCTTGGAAGAAGAAAATTAAATAAATAAAAAACTCAGTACCAATCGTTTGAAATTCACTAACATAAACTCTTAGCCTCTTGCAATCTTGCATGCTTACACTTTGAAGAACGACAAGATGATCGTGAATCGTGAGAAAATATATGACAAACAAAAAACATTGGAAAGATGCATTTTGCTTGCTTACATTCAGCACTGGCTACATCAATGGCACGATCAGTGTCTTTAACTGGAAGTTCTTGAGGGCTTGGATCTAACTGATTGCGACTTGTTGCCGTCATCCGAGTCGCGCTTTGTCCTATCGTGCTATTTCCGTTACGACCGTTAGTTATGATGGTCGTTGATCCTGACCGCCTCACTGTCGCGCCAGGTAAACTCAAGCTGTAGAAATGAAATTCACAGTCAGTCAAACTACCGTGTCGGCAAACTGATGACAAAATTCAACGTACCTCGCGGCAGAGTGATCGATACTGATGCTTCGAGGTCTCGGCGGAAGCGCTGGTTTTCCACCATTCCCATTGGAAGAGGTGTCTTCCGAGCTGGAATCCTCTTGATTACCCACTTGACTTAGATTCACTGAGAAATAATGCGTGCAACACTGTTAAAATCAAGTCGTTCTCAGCAGTATCTTAACACTTTCACGGCGGGCGTCACATACAACATATACAATGTGTGTACATACTTGATTCTGGTTGTTCAAAAATATTAATATAAATAAATAAATGAAAATACTTGTTGACACTAGAACAACTGCATCAAAATTCTATATATAAATTATTTTATAATTGAAATTATATTATGTTAATTATTCCTTTTAATTATTATATACATTATATCAATTGTTCTAAAATTCTTATCCCAAAATATTCTACATATAAATCACTATAATTTAAATACTAAAACAAGTAGATTTATACACTGTCCAAACAGCGATTGATATTAACTTTGACAAAACCATATCGTTTTCAAACGAAAATCTGAAATCAGGGTTCGATTGTTATAGTACATTAATAAAATTATAATAAAAACAATAATAAAAATTATACAATTATTTATAAATATTCCTCACACGTGATTGTCATTTCAAATGTCCCGCCGAGAAAGTGTTAAGCTCTGGGGTAAAACTTGGGGGAAATTACCACTTGAATATGCCCCTTGCATGCCTCTCCTTCGAAGAACGGAAGGGAAGTTACTGTTAGAAGAGGAGTTTGACTTGGCCTGATGATTGATCTTATTTTGCGAACTGATTGTCGGCCTCATCAGCCCGCTGATTCTGTTACTTCCTGCTTGACTGTTCCAACCCCTGCTGTTGTTCCCTGCTCCGACATCAGACTCGGAATCGCTCTACAACATTATTCGTTCAGACAAAGAACAAATATCTCTCATGATGTAATGCAATACGATGTAAGGTGTGTATATATATATATATATAAATATATACCTGATTTAAAACGCCAACGCTGCTACTCCTTGTCATATGAGAGGAATGATTCTTCGTCGAGCCATGTCGTGATTGATTTCCACTGTTTACACTTCCTAGTCCACTTCTCGTCGAAACATTCGCGCTTTTACCTACTTTTCCTGAAACTATTATCGCAGGTTAACAAAAATTCACCTTGAGCAAGGTTTTCTTATCTTTATCTTTAAATTATCATTAAATTAAATTGTATAGGAAAACATGTTCAATAAAAATCTATGCAGTATATTTTAAAAAGAAAGAAAAAAAAAGATAGAACTGTTCGATATTTTGAATAAAGTAAAGTAGCACGATATTACCGACAGAGCAACATTCAAATTCAAATTAATTTTAAATTTTGTTCCTGCGGCAGTTGTGCGAACTATCTTTATCTTTATTAAATTGCATTTAATAAAGGGGGGGGGGGATGTTAATTTTGCACGTTCAATAAAAAACTATAAATTGTATTACTTTGTAAAACAAAGAAAAGAAAAATAAACACAGAACTGTGTTCGAATTTTGAATAACGCAGCAACATTACCGACGGAGCAATATTCAAATTCAAACGACTTTAAATTTTGTTCGTGCAGAGGTTCATGGGTCATCGACGACATAATCAAAATATCGAAACTATCGCAAGTCCCTACCATTCTACGTTTTATGTGACAAGGGGGTCGTTCCAAAGTAATTTCCACTCGTACTACTTCGTGCCGTGACTTTGACAACTAGTAGAGGGGTGTCGTTTCGAACGTTGCGATTAACGCTGAAACTACCAACCGATTGAAGCATAAAATTTCCCGTAAGAAACATTAAAACAAAAGGAATAGAAAATCTTTTACGGTAACTTTTACTTTACAAAAAATGATTTAGATCTCTAGAAATACGTCGCTTAACGCGTCTATAAAATTTCTAGGGAAAATTATAAATCGATCGTTTCGACCAGTTTGGTAGTTCTAGCGTTAAATTGCAGAAGCAAGAAACATAAGTTCTCCGAGCGTCTTGTTCGAACGAGTGTCGTTGGAAAGACCCTCGTGGACGTGGCGCACAATGAAAGGGTACCTTGTATCGGGCCATGCAGTAACCTATTCGGCGGGCTGACGGAAAGATCACTCAGCGAGCAGGCACGTCGCATGCCACCCCCCTCCTCTTCGCTGTCAAAAACTTTCGACGAGATTCGCCCCCCACTACTGCCAACTGTCGACAACAACACGCACACACATGCACTAAACTACGATTCTTTCTCCATTGACTCGAGGAGTTTTCAATATGTACGTGTTTAACGAGATAAATATGGGGGGGGGGGGATTCTCATAAGTGACGTCGTTTCACGATACTGTACAAAATATTATTTTATTTAAATTATTGCCACCAGATGGCGATGTTTATTAAACTTGAAAGAAACGAAATTACTTATGTAGAGGTTATGTAACTCCTGTTACACATATCAGGATCGCGACTTTTTTTCTATGTTAGGTCGTACTTACCTCACAATCAGTTGAAATTTAAAAACAATGAATTACGAATTTTGCAGATCGTGTAAATGATCTCTTTCATGCGTAACGCGGAAGCAAATAAATTGTAAACTCGAAATATCGTTAATTTCTGGTTATTGATATTACCTTGTAAAATATAAAATTTCGGAAAGATGCAAAGTGTATGTCGAGTGCGTGAAATAAATTAATAAAGGTAAAAGATCAAAGTTCAAAGCCGCTCCTGTAATTTTGTAAGTTACAAAATGTGGCAAACTATTCTGTGCGACGAGATACACAGGATCGACTTTGACGCACGAGTTGTGTTAATGAGACAGTAATAAATAAATAAATAAATAAATATAATAAATAAATGATGGATAAAGCAGGGCAAGGAACTGGGATGGATCTACATCGTGAAGACAAAACATGCTGTCGATCACGCGTCGTCATGCCAAACGAAACGATAAGAAATAATTCTCGAGTGTCCAAACTGAAAAGTACATGATCGCTATCGTCGTAAACTAAAATGAACTAAAAATAATCAAAGTACAGGGTACAGCCAAAAGTTCCTTCCCGCCTACTTTCTTCTTTTTTAATAAAACAAATTTTATTAATTTTAAATTAAATTTAAGTTCAAACGAGATGATTTTTTTTCATTACGTTTTAAAAATTATTTCGTTCAAATTGTTGACCGCCAAAGAATTGCGGATTTATTTCAGCAGGAAGTGATTTTTGGCCCACCCTGTATAAAAGAAACATGTCACTTGATCGAACGATGAATATACAATGAATATACGTCCTTGTCGCCAAAATAATCGAAATACACGTGTGAAATAATAATAATAATAATAATAATAATTACAATGACAAAGAAAAGAGAAAACAACGAAAAATTGTTGCTTAATCGTGCACCTGCTGGTTGTCGTACGACAGTATTTTACACTTCTAGGGGTTTTCATGTCATGTTACAAGTTCAGGCAAACATTTAACGACTCGTTCCTCGATTTTCTTCCTCGACCGTGCCGGGAACCGTTTGCTCTCCCATTGCATTTCGCCACAAGAATCACGTATTGCGATCGTGTTCCCTCTGTGTATCGAGATCGACAATCGAGCAGCGAAAATTGGTCGTGTCTCGGCATCCAGAGACGAGAAAGACCGTGTGCTACCATAGACAACGAACGAGTAGACGAGTAGAGAAAGAAACGACAAGAACAACAACTCTGTTCCCGGTGGTTTCGTAAGTGTACCTGCGTACAGATGCTTGGATGGTAGTATGACTTGGTTAATGGTTGGCAATGTTTTAGTCCATTTCATGTGGCTGTGACACCGCGAGGCCGGCGGCCACATTCTCTTCGGCGAGTTCGTGCAGCTCGAGGCGGACGTGGAGGAGCCGCTCTCCATCATCGACTTGTCCATCGCGGACGTGTCCGCGCAATCGCTGTCCTCGCCCCCGGAGTGGAACCTTATGTCCCGCCTCAGGGAACAGAACCCTCGGCCGTCCCTCTCTGCCTCCAGCTTGGCTACGTTCTCGCCGGTTTCCTGGCAATGCGACATCCGCAGGCACTTCTCCTTCATGAAGTACTGCTCCCGTCTGACCAAGTTCTCGAATTCCTTGGAGAGCAGCTTCACGGTTCCCTCGATGGCTCGGGTGATCCTTAGGTCGACGCTCGCGTCCAGATTGTCGATTCGTTCGTTCGTCGTCAGTAGATTCGAGGCGTTTTGCATTCCGGTTGCCGCTTGCAAGTCATGGCAAGTAACGTTAGGCTCCAGAGAGTCGTAAGTCTCCTGCTGCGTGTCCTTCGTTGGTATTTGATTCTCGAAGCAACAGCGTTGATCCCTCTCCGCGCGGGAGGAGTCCGTTTGGTCCTCGCTCGCTCGATAGCCCTTGGTTTGGCCAATGGAGGGATCGCTCGGATCAAAGGCGAAGTTGTCTATCGGGCCGCCAGCGTCGTACACCGACGAAGGACCTTTATCGGAGCTTCGGCGAGCCTGTAGACTGTAAAACTTGTTTTTCAAGTCTTTGTCCTCGCTCGGCTGTAGAGAGTAGCCGGACGACTGTAACAGCTGCTCGATCCTTCCTTTCGAAGCGTGCAGAGATTCATTACCGTTATCGGGCTTCGTTTCAGCGTCGGTTGTTCTTACTGCTCGCTCGTCCAGATCGGACTTCACGCGAGAGGACTGAGGCGTGTTCGACGACGAGTCCACGTACTTGTTCCACGCGGGCCGTGCTCTGTTTCGCATGCTCTGCGTCCGAGCGGAGTTCCGCTTGGGCTTTGGCGGCTTGTGAGCCACGAAATCGTTCAGGATCAGCATCGACTGCGGCTCCTTCGGCACCTTCAGGCTGTTGCTTCGCGACATTGTGTCCGATTTCGTTCCGATACGCATCTCGACGTTCCCGTCGCTTTGATCGTTGAAGTTGAATTCGTAATAGATGCACGTCGCCGGCTGCGCGTTGCTCTCCGAGCAGTAGCTGTTCTTCTCGTTCCTCGCCTGGCTTATCCGCGTGTCCTGCAGCGACTTCGACCTGAACACCGCCCGGCAAGAGGTCAGGTCGTTGTCAGGGTTTTCGTCGGCGTTGCTCGACTGCATCGCGGCGTTGTTCGGATTGCCGCTGTACGTCTCCGAGTTCTGCCTCTTTCGCTTGTAGTGGGAATCGAACAGCATCTCCAGCGGCGCGGACTTCACCAGCGAGTCCGAGTCGTCGGTCAGCACGCTCTCGGTGCTCCGATGATCGATGTTCTCGTGCAGCGGGAACATCTGATAGTCAGACTCGTCCGTCAGAATGCTCTCGTGGCTCCGGCCGGCCTGCATCTTACGACGAGACAGGAAGAAGCTCGCGCTCGAGTGTCGGTCGTTGTCGTAGTGGCTGTAGTCTAAAATTTCAGCGCTCCCCTTCGAGAAGGACTCGACCGAGGCGTCGGAGAGGATACTCTCTTGAGATCCGGTGAGAATTCGCTTGGATGGGAAGCTGGCCTGATACGTCGCGAAGCTCCTCTGTTGCGTGCCTTGCTGATGATCGACGTGGACGTTTATCTGATAGTCGCTGACGCATCGTCGAGGTGGATTCTTGAAGTCACCCTCTAGAGAATCGTCGCTGAAGTTCCCGTTACCGTCGTCCCCACCGTCGTCCATCGGGTCGTTCAGGCTCTCAATGTTCCGCTCGTTCATAGCCGGCAAACTCTCGAAAGACTTGGCTATGTTCTCCATGTCCTCCTCGTTATCGTCGAGCCCGATGAAGTAGCTGCACGATCTCCTCTTCTGCGCGAACCTCGCGAACCGGCTAACGTTCTTCCTACACTGTTCCTTCAGGAGCTTCAGCTCCTCGCACACCGGCGACTCCGGCAACGATTGATTCGGTTTGTTCAGCGATAGCTTATACTTTTCAGTTTTTTTTAGGGTCAACGTTAACGGCCGACTGAGAGACGGCTTTGTCTTGTCAGTAATGCACGACGTAGTCGGACTTTTGGATAAGCAACGTTCAGTCGGAATATCTAGCTTAGGTAGCGCATTACCCACCACACTCGATATTTTGTTAGCGAGCTGTTGAGGTTTTAACTGGGGCTTTGGATTCGGTATGGGTTTACAGGGGTTAATCGGTTTCGAGTACTGAGTTTGCTGACCGGATTTGTTACCTGTGCTCAATCTACTCGAACGATGATGTTTCTCCGGTATGTGGCTGCTCAAGTCCGATATGCTTTGACTGGTCTTTAACGACGATTTGTAACCAACCTGCAAATCGACGATCAAATTGCTTGGTTCGTTTGTAAATTTCACACAACGTCGAAGTTTACGCTTACGCTTTGCAGTTTTCTTCTGGTTTCCTCTATTCTCCTCTGCAACTCTTCGCGTTTCTTCACAACGTCCAAGTCACCCCTGGCTTGCTTCGTCGCACTCGCCACCACTGCCACGTTGTTGCGAACCTTGTTGCTTCCGTTGTCACCGCCACCGCTGAGTCTGCAAACGCACATTCATTTCTCGTTAATATTCGTTCACTCTGGCAAACTGATACTGCGATAAGTTTACCTTCCGTGAAACTGGGAGCTGATACTGGTAGCTTTCACGTTTCTGTTCGTAGGCTCCTCGGCACCGCTGAGAGATTCAAACGCATTTTTGAGGTACTTCTCACGGTGACTCTGCTTGGCTAGCTGATCGAATCCCTCGGAACTAGCTTCCGACAGCATGGACAAAGGATTTCGCTCGGCACTAGGCGTCGAAGCGCCACCCTCCGAGTCCGAGTCGTCTTGGCTACCGGAAGCGGTCAACTCGCTCGTCCGACCGCTCTCTCCGTTTCTACATTTCTTCTGTCTCCTCTGAGACCTGCAACAAACACGTGGAACGATGCCTAATTTTTGGCACCTAGTTCCAGAGTAACCTACCTAAAATTTATGAAATTTTCACTCGCACCAACCTTCGAAGTTCCTCCACGTCCATCGCGTTTACAGTGAACTGATTCGACACTGTGTCTTCCGGCGGGGGATAATACATCAACCTATGATGAGATTTCTCCGAGCCGGTTGTACCATTCTCCCCCTCGGAATAATCCTCTACGTCTCCATCGTGCTCTGTACTCTCGTGATCCTACACGATAATACACAAACAATTATTTACGGAAGCGAACCATTCATTTTTTCAAACGAGTTACTGTTGAGTTAAATTGATGAAGCATAAGTCTGATATGTGTTTCGAGACTCTAATGTTAGATATGATGATTATGGCGACGAAAACATGTATATGCGTGCAAAGTAAGTAAATGAAAAAGCCACAGGGTACAGAATCGAGGAAACAATCGTTGTTGTACAGTTCAATCGCGTTATCGTTTGTCTGAGGCGATAACTGAGATGTACCTCAAATTTAAAGCTGCCAAGGCTGCTGTCGTCGGTATGATGACGACTCCTTGATTGCCGTGTCAATTCCGTGACATTGCTACCTCTAGTTATGGTCACGTTACCACCGATCACCTATGTACGTATACGTCATCGGTTGAAACAAAATAGAATCAACACAAAACAATCGCAAAAGGGGACACTCTGATGCTAAGAAGAAAAAGAAAAATAGTAGAAAGCTGATTGGACAAAAAGAAAAAAGTAAACGTAACAAACACAAGTATGGTTGACCTCTTTCTTTCGCGAGTTGCCTGCGACTCGCAAACACACACTAACAACAACACGCAATGGTTACGAAGTGAATTATCGCAATTATTATTATTATTTTGTTACTGGGAGCCAGTTAGTACCTGTTTCGTTTCTTCTGCTAATTCTCTGTAACTATCTGGACAAGGTTGAAACACTGTTTCGTCCTCTTCCTAAAATAAGTGGTTGATCGTTAGTGCGGTAAGAGAAAATTCGAAGAGAGAAAAAGAAGGGAACGAATTATTAATACATTAATTTATTAGGAGGTAAAATTAGCGGTAATATCTCTCTTCTCGTGGATAACGACGATGTTTCTTTTAGAAAATAATTTTACCCTTTTGATGACCATCGTTTCTCTTCGATAATCGCTGCTACACTTGGTCTCTGTCCCGCTATCGATGGAGCTGTCTTTGGAGCCGGCGCCACCGCCGCCGCCGTCAGAATCGATGGCACCGCGAGGCGGAGGAAACGGTATCACCTCATCGCTGTCGTAAACGGACTTCACGGTTATGCCGTCGCCTTGCTGAACCCTTTGCGCCCATCTCCCCTTCGGCAAATCGACTCCAAGCGGTCTCGCGTTCGAACCAAGGACACCGCTTTCGTCCGCGTTCGCCGTGTTTATCTGCTTCTTCGCCCAGAGGGGTAATTGGCCTACGCTGAACCTGTAATCCACGCCTCCGACGTTCTGCGGCGACGTTGGGTTCGCGTTTGGATCCAGAAACTCCGGCGGTGGCGACCCGAACGTTTCGTTGTCCAGTTGTATGTCGATCCCAGTGCCGTTCACTTGGGGCGGCCTCCTTTAACATTATTTCAGTTTGCATCGATTATTACAGTCGATCGTGACGTTTCTCTCCATATAGACGAATGTGTAATACACCAGTACAGTAGTGCCCACTTAATCGTCCGATATTGGGACGTTTAACATATTGTTGACCAGCAATTTTATGCAGATGCTATCTCATGTCGTGTAACTGAGTATGAAAGTGAAACAATCTAAATTTAAATAAAACTCTGTATATCTTTGATATACATACAATAATATTTTTATATTTATACATATATTTTAGCAATTTTTTTTTGTGTAATGGTACACAATAGGTTTTGAAAATTTGCCATTTTGAAAGTCTAATAATGTCTTCCGATAAACTATTAATTTCTACATCACTATAACTTCAAAATCACTCGGACAATCAGATAAAGCGTCCGCATATAATTCAGTTATAAAAGTTCTTCACTCTGATGATCCGCCGTGACTGAAACTTTATTTAAAAATTTTTTTTTAATAATGGTTTGACACGATTGAACGGTTGAACACGATGAAGAAAGATTTCACAATATCCTGTATTATATCCTGAGTGTCAAAAATTAAAATAGCTAATGCAAACACGAGTTAACTTGCGACCGGCCAACAATGTGTTAAATGGATACTACCGTATCTTGGGAAAAAAATACGTGGCACTGTTTTTCTTACTTTCCAGCTCGCATCGCTTGCTGAGCGAGACGCGCCTGCATAGTGACGACCATGTCCCGTGGTACGCGCCACACGAATATGCAGCCGTCCCCGCTGGCGGACACGAGATTGCGACAGTCGGGACTGAAACGCAGCCCCGTCACCAATTCCGAGTGGCCGAGCATCGTGGCCATACATTCACCGCTGTAATAATCGTACACGCACAACGTCTTATCCGTGCAGGAGGTAGCTACGTAGATTCCCGATGCGTCTGAAACGGAAAGATGTTACGTATTTTACAAAGACAATTAAACAATTAGACTCTAGATCTGATCTGTCGATGATCGTCTCTTTAATATCAGAATGATCACAAGGAACAAAAGGATAGGAGACACGAAGAACTTTTGTTTGTATATTTCACAAACAACTAGTGTAAACTTCTAAAAATTCATCGTTGCATAGATCTATAAAATTTCTAGAAGAAATTAAAAATATATCATTCTGATCACTTGGTGTTGAAGTTTGGTCTTACCTAGAACAACTTTGATGAGCGATCCGTCTTCTCCGACGGATCCCTTGAACGTTTTGCTGTGTTTACCGGTGGTTACGTTGTAAACCCTTATGTTCCTATCCTGACAGGCAGTCAGGACGTGTTTCTGCCCGGAATCGACCTCCATATCGTACAATGTGGTTTTTCCCTGAGCGTTGTGACCCCTGGCGAATTGCGGCATGCCCCCCGGCGTCTGAAACGACGAAAACGTCGACGACATTGACGAAGGAGAGCTCGCGTGCTGCCTGCGTGAAGATAACGAACGAATAATAACTTACCGATTGCAGCTGTCGGAAAATAATACTTTTATCGGCACCGCAGGAGACCATTTGTATCTGATTGCTCTGATTGCTCTGATTGAAGAACCTAACGGCAGTAATGGAAGAGCTATGATCGTCCAGCGTTTGCAGAAAGTTGTATCCTTGATCGACGCTGAACACGTGGATCAGCCTGTCCCTGGAGGCACTGGCCAGTAGCCTCGGCGGTTCGGTCGAGTACCGGGTGAACTTGGAGTACTCCAGGCAAAGCACTTCCGCGTCGTGCGCCTCGATCAAGCACAACTCCTCCAACGAGGAGAGATCGTGAATTCGAATGTTGCCGGAACGGTCGCCGGACGCCAGGTGTTTCCCGTCCGGGCTGACTCGGATCGATCTGACACCGTTTCGGCCGTCGTACGAGGCGTCGCTCTTCTCGGTCGAGCCGGCGGCGGCCAGATCCACGTCCTTCAGGTACGTCAGCTCCGGGTCTATGTAGAGGACCTTGAGCAGCTCGTTGCTGTAGATGTTTCGCTTGTAGAGCGTGTCGCACGGCGTGATGTCCTTCTCGAGATTCCACACGCGGATCGTGTCGTCGCTGGAGCAGGTGATGAAGCTGCCGGCCGGCATGCTGCCCATCGAGTCCGACCCCGTTGGGTACATGTCCACGCCCCAGATGCACGCCGAGTGATAGAGGAACGAATGCGACTTGCCCACTCGCCTAATGTCTCGCACGTCCCACACGTAGATGCTGTGATCGTTGTAAACGCAGGTGAGCTTGTTGTTTCGCTCGTCGAACGCCAGCGCGATCGCGTCCGGGTACCTCGCGTTCGTTGGATGCTGAGACATGTGACTGCAACCGAGAAATGATAAACAGAGGTTTAAAAGAGAAGAACCCGATAGAGTTGAGAAAACACAGCGTTAGGCAAACAATTGTCCCACCTAATGGACAATCCCTGGGCAACGTCCACCCCTAGATAATGCGTTCTGGGCAACGTGGTGATGAACTGAAGCGTGCTGGGACTGAAGCATCTGACGATCCCCTCCGCGCAGCCGATGAAGATGTATTTGTCCCCGACGGCCATGCAATTGGCACTGGTAGTCTGGAAAGAGTCATTGACAAAATTAACCCTTAGGTACACATACTTGTTTTTTGTTGTCCAAGTAAACTAATGAAAATGTCTACGCTTAGGTACATATACTTGTTTTTTTGTTGTCCAAGTAAACAAATGAAAATGTCTACGCTAGGACAACCGTGTCATATAAGTATAAATCGTTGCACGATGTTTAAATGATAATTAAAATAAATAGATTCGTACAATTACGTTCCCGTCCAAACGGAAATTAATAATATGATAATATCCGTAGCTTTTAAGTAGTTCAAACGAAAGTCTGAAATCATAGTCACAAGTACGTTAATAAATTAAAATTGTACAATTATTTATAAAACTTCTAAAACTTCTAATGTCAAATAATATTTCTTGCACGCGGCTAGCACTCCAAATATCCTATCTGGAAGGTGTTAACACACCGACGTTAATAAATAGTAGTAAATTCTACTTACGCGAAGCTCCACCCATTTGTCCAAGAGTCTCCTGTTATTAAATTCGCATAGAAGGCCCGTTTTGGTGATCGCGTACGTCGAATCGGCCATTTCGCCTCGGCCGCAGGCTACGTCCACGAAATCATTGTTCCTCTGCTCTCCTAATATGGCGGACCGACCCATCAAAGGCACAGGTTCCTTGTACTGTGCAACAAAGTTCTTACGATTACCACTTTTATGTTGTTACCGTTATATAATCCTCTTTCCTCCCTTTGCCAACATGTTGGTACACAATCAGCATCGGTACCAGCATTTTCTCGAAACTTTCTTTTCAATTTCGAGCAATTGGTTTTCGATCGCTCGACGTACGGGAAGAAAGAGATACGAATATGTACATATGTGTTTGTATGCATGGCAAAAGATCGTACTTATTATTAATTACTTATTATTAATTTAGGTTATGAAATTGTCTTGTCAATCGAAAATGTAATTTCCGCTATTATCAACAACATCTTCGGTCAATGTTCTGAAATCGTGGACTTTGGTTTTTTTTTTTTTTTTATTAAAAAATATGATTTTTGACAGCTTCCGACGAAAATCGAATTTTCTTCCGTTCAAATCATCGAAACAAATGATAGTCGGATGGAGTAAGTATGGGAAATGCAACAAAATTTTCTCACTTTAGTTCATTTAATTTCTGGAAAGTCTGTTTTACCATGGTATGTGGTTCTGCATTATCCTGAAAACGCTCTTCCAAATTGCCAAAATTGGGCGTTCCTCTTGAATTACTGTCTTTAATCTTTTAACTACTAAACGCCAATATAGTACCTCACTTTCACAATTTTTTCGAAGAAAACTGTAAAACTGTAAAAATTCGCATTCCTTACGAATTCTTTATATGGAAAAAAATTGAATTTATTCATTCTTTCGATTTCAAAACTTTAATTTATTTGTAGTTTGTTGTAACTTCGCAGTTACGTAGTGAAGCATATATAAAAATTTTATTATTATACTTTTTTTTGCGTGGTTTGTGTCAGACCTTGCCTTACAGAAGTATAGCTTTGCGAAAAATTAAATTTTCAGAATATTAACAGTACTTGTTGGAATTAATTCAAAAAACAAATCACAGAGAACCTCATAATTTTTTTGAAATGCAAATTCGCTTTCAGTGTTGATTCTACCACTGCTTGGTTCGCTAATTTTCACATTCGTTTGCGTACATACTCATTCCTTCGTCCTCCGGTTACTAATCGATCCAAAAAAGGCTCGTTGTTTAAACGATCGAGCGAAGAAAAAACTGCGGAGGGTCTGCTCATTTTATCCGCCTCGGAGAACAAATGTGACAACCATACATTAAGCTTTAAAGTGTATCCAATTGCTTTTAAGCGGCGGAACACGGTCGAATTGTCAATATTTGCTGTCTGAGCAATTTCACTTTGGTGGAAATTATTTTCAGTAAATTTCACATTCACAATTTCGTCATCCATCTTGGATGGTCGGTTTAAAAAAATTAGATTTTTCTTATATTTTGACGTTTCATTTAAAAAAAAATGGATGGGTAGAAACTTTTGGCCCACCCTATATATAGTGGAATGTCGAACTTTTCTACCATTGCGGAAAATTACGGGGCAACAGATGAAGGATGATAGTATACAACTGTCCTAACACTATACGTGTTGAAAAATCGTGCACGAATTTTCGCAGTAACCCAAAATATACTGCTCACAAAAATTAGGGGATATTTCAAAATGAATATGAAGCGATAAAAAAAGAAGCATTTGATTTTTTTTTAACTAAACAAGAACATAAAAAAAAAACAAACGATAAATCAAAGAAAGTTGTTCTTGATTAGATTAGGTTAGGTTAGGTTTCATATTCATTTTGAAATATCCCCTAATTTTTGTGAACAGTGTACTAATGCACGCTGCACGAATTCGTGCGTCGCGAAATCGGCGTCGACTTACCTTGGCGCTGCGCGAATACTCGAGGTACCAAAACTTGACGTGCCTGTTGCCGACGGTGACGAAGTAGTTGCCGTTCTCCGCGAAACAGACAGCCTTCACCTTGCTCGAGACTTTGTTCGACGCCACTTTAACATTGTTCCTCCAGTCCCAGACGTTGACGATCATATCGTGCTGAGAGCCCACGGACACCACGTACTTGTTGCTCGGCGAAAATGCCTTGAGAAGAAAAACAGCGTCTACAGAGTGCACGTTGGTCGATCGAAAGAAAAGGAGGATCCGTTTGTGAGAGAGCGAGATACATTTGTGTCCTTAGATCGATAGGAAGTTTCAATTACCAAGACGATAGAAAATCGCTTGAGAACGATTTCAATTAACAGAATTCTCATTGATAAGTCAAAATTTTTGGTCTTGGATCGAACGTTATTGTGACTATGTTCAACTACACTTCAAAAGTAACAGGGAGCAACACGTTTGTTTGGACATGCATCATCGAAACGAAACAGCACAAGTTCCGTTTTGTCACGTCTCTGTTTTTCCAGCGAAGAAAACCTTTTTTTTTTTAGCCAAGGATCATTGCACTCGAGCTATCGAGAGAATGCAACGCGGAACAATAAAAAGAAAAGAAAAAAAAAAGGGGTACCGTTGTCCGTCCGCTGAGAACGCCATTTCGTATTCACGCACTTTTCCCAACGTCTCAGCCTCTCGTCGAGCCAGTATATTTGCTTGTGTACGTGCACGCGAACGTGGGCCGAATGCGAGAACGATTCCTCGACGAGATTCGACGAAACGTCCTCTCTCTCTTGTCAACGCGACGAGAAAGAAACGAAAGAACATAGGCAAGTACTTTTTTTTCCATTCGTGTATTAGGTTGGGTTAGCCTAGCGATAGGTTAGGTTAGCGATTCGTTTGCAAACCGACGAGACAAAGGACATATAATAACAGGGTGGCAGCCGCTGAAAAACTGAAGGCTTTGAAAAGGTCATAACTTGTTCATTTTCAAAATGCTGGTCATTTGAGGGATGTTGGTTTTCGCACATAATACTGAAAAAAATCCATTATTATATTTCCAAATAAAATAATAAGAAATTTAAAAAACGTGTGTTTGTAAAAATTATTTTTGTTCCGTATCATTCAGTCTTTCAGTGACCACCCTGTATAAATAGCAGAGATACTCAGAGATACTATAGACTTTTGGAAATTATATGCCAAATGGTGCTCAGCCAAATGTCTCGTCCTACAAACGCCAGTCGCCGAATGTGTTAAAATTCTGATATTCCCTTTTTATGGCAGAGAATTGCCAGTGGAATAGGTATTGGCTCGGTACCAACAGGAAAATATCTAGATACTAGACGATCTTCTCGCGTTTGTGAGCACACGAAAACGATGATACATTGATTGCTAGGCGTGTTCCTTAAAAACTGGATAAAGAAAATGCTACACTTTTAACCTTTAGAGGCACGCAATTTTAAAGAAAAAAAAAAAAAAAGACTACCTGCACGGAATTTTTTTAATATAAAAAAGGGAAAGGAAGTGTTTATTTCAATTATTATAAACACAAAATATTTCTTAACACGAGAAAGAAAAATATTTAAATAAATTCTTTCTTACAGAGTGGGGCATAAATACTCCCACCATGCAACTAATGAAATTTTTTTGTTTCAAATGAAATTCATTGATTCACATCTTTAGATGGGTCAAAAAATATCCCACCGTGCATTAACTGTCGAAAAAAAAATGTGGGAGAATTTTAAATCCACCTAACTCCAAAGAATTAGAGGCTAAAGAATACTTGGAGTTCCACGATTCTCATAAAATATTAGGAAAGCATTTTTGCGGAAAGAAGTATTCAGCTCTTGACTACTCACCACGCAGTTGATGCCATACTTGTGTCCGGAAAATTCAGCGAACTGTACGGCGTTGTACGGGTCGGAGATGTCCCAGACGCGAACGTTCGGCATGTGACCGCACTCCCCGGTCGCCAGAAATCTTCCATCGCCGGCGAGGGCCAGAGAGGTCACCGTTTTCCGGCAAGCATTTAACACGTGCGCCTGAGTGTTCTTTCGTGGATTGAACAAAACCACGGTGCAACTGAAACAACGAAAGTTCGACCGTTAAGTTTTTACTCTCATTGGCAACGATTCCTCTGTAAATTTTACGGGAAGATGAATGGCTTTCATAAGCCATTTCGTCATGGCTGCCCGAGCACGAATCTCGAGACATCGTTTTGTAACGGATTGACTTTGTTAAATTAATTTCAAAAATCTTGTACAAGTTTATAAGCTTCGAAGTTGTCGAACGTCTGAGGAATAAGGTACTAAACGTTTTCTGCTCGCTTGTACATTCCTGAATTGTTAAACTTAATCGAAAATTTTACGATGTGTAAATGGTCTTTATATAATTTTTGTATTTTCAGAGAGACAGATAGGTATGCTCTTCACTATCCTCGAACCAGCCGTCACCTACGATGTTACAACCTGGCTTACGTCAACACAACGACGACGTTAGGTAAACGTGACACGTAACGAGAAGAAGGTGCACCATTGCGATCGGAGAAGAAAAGATGGCCAGCAACGCTCGAGTAACAATAAGCGAGTCCACGTTCAGAACGTTTCAGATTCGTTTCCGTTTGCGAACGTGCATTCGTCGAGCTAGCCACACCATGCACATACGTTCGCCACGTTTCCGGCTGTTTCACTTCGCTAGTATGGTCAGCCACCGATTAACACACTGGAACTACCGGCGACCAAAATGTTGTGTAAAATATGCAACAGAGAAATGAAGACGCAAGTGACAGGAAACTATTAAAATTCTTTTAATTCGTTTATTAATTTAATATTTGATTAATTAAATTTGTAATATAACAAAGAGCACGAGTTTCTATCGATACACTTTACTAAAAATTAGTCAGGTCGCTGAAAATACACTGTTCTGAATTTATGAAATTTCATGACCACTTTGGTTTTTAGTTCTATATAATTGTATACTATAATTATTGTATACGGCTCGGTCACTCGTTATGGTCCGCGAATCAGTTGCCAGCGCAAGGGGTTAAAACATTTACTTTTTACATATTTCCTACCGATGACAAAAACATATTGTTTCAAATATTTTTGGTATTTCTGTTTATGTTAATAATAAAAATAATAATATACAAATAAATACTAAATAATAATAAACGGAATAAATGGAATAATAATAAATGGAACGTGTTAAAGAATCCAAGAAGTACATGCTTATCTGGAAGACAGTAAGCAATTGGCTGCCATATTTTGCGTAGAAAACGAAGGGACGAATGGCCTAACCTAACCTAACCTAACCTAAGCAGTGACTTTGAAACACCAGTGTATACGAATGTGAAGAAGAATACATGGCGTAGGAGTGGCATTGGTCATATTCCCGCTGGTTTTTCACCGAAAATAAAAATCTCAGACCAACGTTTCTCGTTAATGATAGAAATCATTTGTCAGTCGAGTCGACGTACGATCTACTTTTAGTCGGAAGGTTCGCGTGGGAACGCGTCTCGAGGACTGTATTCGAGTCGCACTGGAATCGCGCGTCGCAGACGCGTCCTCTGAAAGGAACACGTGGAAACCATAGAGAAATCGTAGTTAACTAATGGTTTTCCTTCCTTGTCGAACTTGTTGGTTCCCGTGAATTAGCGCAAGAAAGAGAGAGAGAGACCAAATGGTGAATAAAGCCGGGTTCGGGGTCGATATAGACTTTTCATTCGATTAACCTCGAAATCCACTTTTCTCGCGTAAATCGTCCATACTTCTCGCTTGCGAATCTTCGTTCATCGGCGGCTGTTTCGAGGAGGAAACTGCAACGATAGCGTCGCTCTTTGTCATTTGGAAAAATTTTGCTTTTCAAGGAGAGGTCGCAGCTGTTGGGTCGATTTTAATGAAATTTGGTCTGGAGATTCTAAAGCAAATATAATTTGACAATTTTCAAGCATTTCCGTCAATACTCATTATTCAACAGATATACTCCAGAGATATATTTCTTTTGTTAAATTTACAAGCAGTAATATAGTAGCGTAGTTGATAGTATAGTGGATTCATATCCGGAAGTTTTAGGGCTTGAATCCTCTTAGGGAAGAATATATTTTTGTCTCTACTTTTGTTTTCCTTTTTTTTTTCTTTTAAGTTTTCTTGTTTTTTTTATGTAAAATTCTGTGTTTTACATTTTTATAGTATCCCTAATTGTTAATTTATTTAAAATATCACAGAAAATTTCAATATAAAATATAACGTCGAGCATTACAATTTTTAATAACTAATATTTTGCAAAAGAACATTACAATGTTTAGGATGATAAGCGTCACAAAAGCATGAAAAGCATAAATATACCTGGTAGTATGAACATTTTATAATTCCCATATCATTACACGAACACTTTGCGTTTCTTACATCGTCTGGAAAGCACACTTGGTTTACATTGAAAAATATGAATTTATGAGATATTAATTTTGTTGCGTACCAGAAATATTTAACCATTGCATTGAAAATTGGTGCAGATAATTGATTATGAATCAATGAATGAATTTTGATAGCGTCTTCTCTACGTTCATGATTATTTTGTAAAATAAGTTCATGATTATTTTGTAAAATTTCTATAGCATTCTATAATAGGCACATTATAAAATTATAATAATGGCGATATAACTAGGGACATTATGAAAATATAAAACACAGTATTCTACATAAAAAAAAAAACAAAGAAAAGAAAGAAAACAAAAATAGAGTTAATACAAAAAAAACTTTTTCTGTGGAAGGATTCGGAACCCTCAAACTTCCGGATATGAATATATTACTACACTACAGCTTCGCTACTACATCACTATTTCTAACTTTAAGAAATATATAGCTGTGATAGAAGATTGAAACATTAAATATCTCTGTAAATAATGAGTGACAGAAACGTTTCAACATAGTCAAATTATTTTTACTTTAGAATCGATATACTAAATTTCATTAAAATCGACGACCCAACAGCTGTGACCTCTCCTTGTCAATCATATATATCTCAAAACAAACTGATATATGATCCACAGCTAATACAATACAGATACAATTCTTGGCACTTGATAATAATATAATATGGTTTATATACAAATCTAACCTAACCTAAATCCAACCTAATGTTATTTACATATTTGAACGTATTTTTTTAGCTATACAATGCTGATAAAAAAAATACATAGTTGTATGAAGAAAAACATCAATGACCTTGGACCCAAAAAAAAGTGAATTTGGAAAAAGGTATCTTTACTAGTTATTAGCCTTTTGATACCATTTCTCGGAAACGAAGAACGTCATACGGAAGAATTTTGTTCTTTTTTTCTTCTTATTTTTACACACAGAATCACATCCTGGCTATGATTTTGGGAATATCCTATATAAGGAGCGCTCTGAAGCATATCCGTCATCTACCATTCAATCTATCATTCAATTATCCCCAACAATATTTATGCAGCGCTTGTGGCGCCCTGATGCTTCTAAATTTTGCTGATAATTTAACAACAAATTTAAATATGCAAATAAGTTTCGCATACTTGGCAAAATTTGTACTGGATTTGGACAATTATAAATAAAAGGAGAAAAATAAGAGAAACAAGCTTGAATTTAACAATCCAAGGAGGGAAAAGCTATATAATATGGATCTTTAACTTTAAGTGATAAGTAATTTTTAACAAAACAAATAACAATCTCTTAACTAATAGCGACAAACACAAACTAATAAAATATAAAAAATTTTTCTCTTGTCAATACATGGAAGAAAGCCAGTAATTGCGAACAGACTGGTCCGTTAAATTACGTCCGATGCAAGGAGAGGGGATCGTGTTTCGCGTGGATCCTCCTCCTTCCAGCATTGTTCAATTGTCTTCGTCTTTCGAACACACTCCTAACCGAGTATCGTTTACACGCTTGCCGATTTTTCGTCCTTCCTTTTTTTCCTCTCCTCTTGGACACCCATAGACATTCTAGACGGTCAACGTTGAACAGACTATTCTACCGGAAGGGAATAGCAGTTCAAGCGTACCGTTAACGCAACTGCGGCAAAAGCTCCGCACGAAAGTTCTCGCGAGAGAGTCCGAGCATTGCACCAGGAAACCCGTCGCAGTAATTTCTTAGCCGCGGGTTGCGTGCGAAGGAACACGCGAGGTCGCCGCTATAAAGGTCACTGGGTCGGCGATCGTCGAGCATGGAAACCGGTCGACGCGACGACGGCGTGTCTAATAAGTCGACCGGCGATAAATCGGCCGATCTCGCCACGTTCTTTCCCCATTTTTTTTTCTTTTTTTTTTTTTTTTTTTTTTTTTTTTTTTTTGACGACAATTGTAACCAACTGTAACCAACATGACAACAGTAACCGGTTGATTATATTATTGTTCCATTATTGAGAGATTTATTCGTCTTCTTTTTGCTCTGTCAATTTGCCGAATTTAAGACAAAAAAAAAAAAGAAGAGAAAATGCTTCTCAGTAGAGGCACATGGTAATTTATAATATTCTAAAGCATATCCAGACGAACACCTGTGCGAATATGATTTATACTGATTCTACGAGTGAGATTCTATGAACCAAATGTAGACTTGTTGAATAAAATGAAAAAAGACAAAGACGGCATCGTTGGAGATATTTCTAGATTTTACACTGAACTCTCCAACTTGTGACGGTAAATTGGATACCCTCATCGTTGGAATTATAATAGCAGATTCGAATGCCAAAAAAGCATTGACCTATCACAGATCCCTATTCCATATCAAGAACTTGCACAAATATGCAAAAACCAACGTCAAGGATGAATGGACATCAAGTCGAACGAAGATCCACAACATTAGTAAATGACTTGTACGAAGAAATTTCTTTTAGTGGATTAACCAATAAAAAGAAGGAACTATACTGGCTCGATTACAGACAGAACACAGGAAAATAACCCATGAACACCTAATCAGAAAGACTGATCCTTTCTTCTGCAATGCATGTCAAAAATCTGTCACAGCTTAACACATTTTACAGTGTGAACCGAAGGTTTCTTCCTATTTTTCTTTTCTTTTTTAAATAAAACATCAAAATATAAGAAAAGA